TAAAGTGGACACAGCTGTACCCACACCTCAATGATAACCAAGGCAAAACAGGGTATTTTACTGTGCACTTCCCAGGACTAAAGGGAGTGAGTTTGAGCTCTTGGGGAGGAGTCAAGTTAAATTGCAAGGCGAAACCTAGCCTTTGGTCCCCTCCCCATGCCCTGATTTCCTCAGGGTCTGACACTTCTGCCTTCGTTTCTAAGGTTGCCCATCAAAGCCAGGAACAATCCTTTATATGAATGTCTGTATTTTAATTTTTTTTTAGAGCAACCTCTGGCTTTCTCCCAGCATATCAAGCATGAAAGAGTAAAGATAGTGGAGGTAGATTAAAAACAAATTGAGCCTTAGGGTAACATTCAAAAAGGATCTACTTCAATATTACAGTGAGGTGGAGTTGAGCTAGAGCCAGGGGACTTCTCTTAGGGGGTATCTCATTTTCTGAGGCAGTCTAGCATCCAGTAGAGTGCTATCACTATAGCAACATGGCTGAAACCCTGGGCCATCACCTTGGGCTGGTTGTGGTAGGGAAACTTACAAGGAGATCTTTCTTTCAAGTGTTTCCATATATGTTCACCCTTCATCTTGATACAAGGTTTCTGGTTCGTTTTTGTTTGTTTGTTTGTTTTTGGTTTTTAGTTGTTCTCTTAATGCTTTTTATCTGACAGCCAGATTGAGCTAGGCAAGCCTAAACAGATGAAGGGAGCAGCCCATTCCTGGAAGATGAAGGTTATTCTTGGGGAGGGGAATTCAGAGGTACAAACATCCTTCAATGCCCATACCCATTTTTTTCAAATTGAGTTTGGGGCTCCCTCCAAATAGAAATCAAAACAAATTGCTTTTGTTGCTATTATTTTAATTTACCTGTACAGAGGAGGAAGTAAAAGAGAAAGGAAACTTCTGGCAGGGAGAAGAGGAAGTGGAAACCAGGAAGGAACAAATGATTCAGTGCTGATGGATAGTAACTGTGGGCATGTATTCATTTACCCCCCAGAAGGAAGTGGTCACTTCCATTCTCTGAACTCTCATAGCACTTTGTCTGTATTTCTTATATGAACTTAAAGTACTTTATATTGCTAAGATTGTAGCCTGTCACTGCACAAAATAATAAATGTTTAATGAATGAATGGCATAGACCATATCTTTTTTTATATTTGTGTGTCCCACAGCTGCTAGCATAGTGTTTTGCACATAGTAGGGTCAATCAATAAGTTTTATTAAATGTTCATTAAGTGCTCAGTACTGTGCTAAGTACTGGTTATACAAAGACTTAAACGCACCAGTTTCTGTCCTCAAGGAGCTTATATCCTGTTGGGGAGGATAGCATATACTCATATAAGAATATATAAAATAAAGACACGGTGATTTTCTAGGAGAGACATTAGCATCTGAGGGATCAGGAAAGGAATAGTAGGTGGAACTTGAGCTGAATTTTGAAGGAAACTAGGAATTATAAGAGGCAGAGATGAGAAGGAAGTCATTCAAGCTAATGAGATGGCGTATTGAGTTCCTAGAACAGTGAAAAGGCCAGATTCCCTGGACTGAAGAATGCAATGAGGGAAATAATGTGTTATAATTCTGGAAAAGTAAGTGGAGCCAGGTTTTCAAAGTTGTACATGTCAAAGTCATGGTAAAGATTCTAAAAAAGGCCAGACAGGGATAAATTCCTGCATTAGGAGGGAGAAAGGTAAGGAGAGGGGAAGCTATGGGAGGATCTCCTAGCAAGAAGAATGAAAGCTGCACCTCCTACCTGCTGCCAACTCCTGGGTTTAAGACAGAGCTTCAACATGAGGTGCTTTGGGTCCTAGAAACCCGTTTGTGATCTTTGCTGCCACCTGGTGGACTGATAGAAGTTATATTCCCATTGAGAGCATTCAGAGGTAAGACACTCAAGCACCCACCACTTGGCAAGTCTGTCATCCCAATGCCTGATGATAACTCAGGGAATTGTGTATGGCACCAGGAACTGCTTTCTTCTGGAAAAGTGAGAACCTGGGACTGACTGAAGGTGCCCTCTTGAGAGTTTTTCCCTATGCAGGACTTCTTAGATATGCAGTAGGACTGTGTCCTGAAACTCAGCTGGGAGTTACAGGATTAAAAAAAGAGGGCAGTCTCCTTCTCAAGTGCCCCTACTCAGTTTGCTGGACTGTTTGCAACTCTGCCCTATGAAGTGGCCTATGATCCAAATTCCCTTTCAGTTCCCCTCATCCTAACCACCAAGACAAATAGGTATGGCAATGGATAGAGTGCTGGGCCTAGAGTTAGGAAGACTTGAGTTCAAATCTTGCCCCAGACACATCCTAGCTGTGTGACCTTGGGAAAGTCACTTTACTTCTGTCTGCCTCATTTTCCTCAACTGTAAAATGGGGATAATAATAGCAACTACCTCTCATGATTATTGTGAGGATCAAATGAGATAAGATAAGTAAAGTACTTGACACAGTGACTGGCACATAAGAGGTAATTAATAAATACTTCTTTTCTTCTTTCCTTCCTGAACATTATCTGTAGTTTTGGGGCAACTAGATGGCACAGAACACCAGGCCTGGAGTCAGAAAGATTTGAGTTCAAATCCAGCCTCAGACACTTACTAGCTGTGGGACCCTGGGTAAGTCACTTAACCCTGTTTGCCTCACTTTGCTCCTCTGAAAAATAAGGATGATAATAATAGCACCTATATCTCAGGTTGTTGTAAGGATCAAATGAGATAATATTTATAAAGTGCCTAGCACAGTACCTGGTACATAGTAAGTGCTTATTAAATGATTGTTCCCTCCCTCATTCCCCTATAAAGTCCCTTTGATCCAACAATACCACTATTAGGCCTATACCTGAAAGAGATCAAAGAAACACGTGTACAAAAATAATCATAGCAGTTCTTTGTGTAGTGGCAAAGAAATAGAAACTAAGGGGGTACCCATCAAATGGAGAATGACTTGAAGAAATTATAGTATCTGAATGTAATGGGATACTAGTGTGTTATAAGAAATTACAGAAGGGAAAGGTTCTGAGAAATCTGGGAAGCCTTGTTATGAACTGATGAAAAATGAAACAAGCAGAAACAGCAGCACAATTTATACGATAACATTTTAAAGACAACTTTAAAAGATTTAAGAACTCTTGATCAGTTCACTGACCAACCCCGTCTAGAAGATTGAGGCTGAGTTCTGCTACCCACATTCTGAATGAGGATGGATTCAAGATTCAATAAGGATCAGACAAGCATTTTTGACATGGTCAAGTGTGAGGATTTGTTTGGCTTGACTCTGCAGATTTGTCATAATGGTTTGAGATCTTTTTCAGTGCAGAGAAGGAGAGACAATAAAAGCTTGTTTACTGACAATTTAAATTTTTTAAATTTAGGCACTTAGGTTTTATACCAAGGCTAGTTTTCTCCTTTAGGTATAAATGTGGGGTTTCTGTTCTTACCAAAAGTTTTATTCCAAAAACCCAGTCAGGAACTTCTTATTCCCAGGACAGCAGGGGATGAGAATTTCATTTCACAGGGAGCCATGTTCTTCTACCACTATATTTAATGTTCTTTTTACCAAAATTTTTCTCTCTTCATTGTGGATCATCTTATGAGCCATAGCAAATGGGCCAACTACCAGTTTCCCACCCCACCAGTAACAGCAAGTCAGTTTCCTCTCTGAATCTGTTTCTTCCTTAGTAAAATGGACAGTTATCAATGATAGTTAATTCATTCCCATTTTTAGATCTAATTTTTCCACAGAATTTTTTCCCCGCTGTGAATAAGCTATTACTGGTGAACCCTAGAAAAATATCTTAAGATTCATATCCCTTACACTTAGCCCAATGTCTTGAACATAGTAAATGCTTAATAAGTGTTGAATTGAATCTTCTGTATTTATTCCTCCCATCCCCCCACGTGAGGCATGGAGATTAACTGGTCCTGTTAATTATGTGCTTCCAGCTCTTGGGAAGAAGTGTAAAGTGCATACTAGTTAGTCATATGATCAAGGAATTTTGACCACTTCTAGAGATTAGCAGAGAGGAAAACACTTGGATACAGACCAACACTCAAGTCTGAACTGAAGTACATAGGCCTACATATTTCAGAGGGGTAGTGACATCTTAGGAATGATAGCATTGCCTAATTTGGAATTTAACCTCTGAATCCAGGGTTGGGATGTTGGTAAGGATCATAGGGTATATCGATGAGTTTGATACTTCAAATTTCCACCTAAACCAGCTCTAAACTCACCTGAATCCAGAGCTGGAATGTAGGCTCCATACTATAGTGTCATAGATTTAGAGCTGAAAGGGACCTTAGAGGCCACTGAGTCCAAATCTCTCATTTTATACATGAATAAATTTCAGATAGTTATTGTGTCTTAGGTGAGATTCAAACCTAACCCAAGTTCAGTGCACTGTGCATTCTTACAACATGCTATATGCTCTATGTGACAGATGTGGGAAATGGAGGTATACAGTATGAGTGACCACCCTTAGCAATTATGAGTAGTAAGACAAGCTTTGACTCTGGCTGTAATATTTTCCTGTAGTGATCCCATCCCATATAATTTAAGTTTGGGTTAGATTTCTAGTGGGTTTGCAGAAACACATAGAGAAGAAGATGATTTGGGGCCCACTGCTTTCTGGGTAGAGGGTAACCTATCAGGAGAATCAATAACAGTGAACTTTCCAAACCACAGAAAACAAAATCAGATTTTTTAAAAATTTAAATATTTTCATATGTTTACATCACACTGTATTGAAATATCCCCCAGCATTACCCACCCACCTTCCCCAGACAATACAGAATCTGTTTGGACCATCTTCCCAGGAAATCAAAAGAACATCAAATTCAAAGTCCGTGTAATAAATACTTATAGTCTACAAACAGTCATCACAATAGAAGACTCCATATTACCCATAGTGCTCAGCTACCAACCCTGCTGTCCACTGACTAACAAGATGAAATTTAGAAGTATAAGTGTGAAGTGCTATTCTTGAGTTTTAAAAATCAGCCACCTGGGATCAGGGTGGGGAGGAGGGAGGGAGAGACATTACTAGAAAGTAGTTCATATGAAAATTATGTAGTTTTTAGTGGGCTGCAATATGAGTCAATGTGGGATGTGGCAATCAAAAAAATGATTTTAGACTACATTAACATAACATCTAGAATACGAGAGATGATAATTTTGCTATAATCTGCCCTGGTGAGAAAAAAGAATCTAAAATATGTTCAGTCTAGGGCGCCACATTTGAGGAAGGACATGAACGAGCTGAAGCACATCCAGAGGAGGTCAGCCATGTTGGTCAGGAAACTTGAGAGTCTGGCGATGTTTGGTTTGAAGAAAAGACTTAGAATATGGATGTTGTCTTCACCTCTTTGAAGGGTCTTCTTGTCAAGAGATTAGACTCGTTCTTTTTGGCCCCAGAAGGTAGAGGTAAGATGTGGAGATTGCAGAGAAGCAAATTTTGGCCCAATATAAGAAAAAACTTTTTAACACTTAGAGCTTCTCAGAAATGAAATGGGCTATCTTACAAGGTTGTATGTTCCTTATCCTGAGGGGTCTGGAGGGTCACTTGCTGAAGGCTTTGTAGTGGGGAATTCATGTTTCAGGTACTGGTTGAACTAGGCAACATCTGAGGTCCCTTCCCACTCTAGGATTCAGTGACTGAGATGGCTTCAGCTTCCCATTGCTATCTGACCCTCCAAGGACTAGGACAAAAGAAAAGAGTTGGAGGTAGTATGACAGATCCAGGAGCTCCTCAGAAGGGACAAGATGTTCCAGTGTTTACAGCTGTGTTGATTAAGGCTACAGAGTTCAATCAGGGAAGTTTCACAAGCATCTCTTCTCCCTACCTTTTTTCTGGAATGCCTCTTGGGTGTCCTAGGAAGCTGGGGCTCCCTTTCAGTAATATGCCTACTTCCAAGCTTGATACTCCCTTTCTTTCCCCAGGGTCCAAAAAGGAACATCCCAAGTAGCCAAGGAGCCTATCAGAAATCTTGAGGAAGGGGAGGATGGCTAGCAACCTTTACAGGGTGAGAACTTCTGTGTTGTCAACTGTGATGCACTTGACATGTTACCTTCTCCTCCATTTCCTTCTTGGCCTGAACTTAAATGGCAGGAGGAGAGGCCTAGGTTCCCTGCCTGTCCTTGGGGCTAAGCTAGTCAAAGATTAGGAAAGGGAGTGAATGGAAACTACAGGACTAGGGAATGAGGTGGGGTACTAAATAGGGGAAATTGTGAGAGCAGGTCTGTTGCACTGGGGTTCATGACACCAGTTACCACCTTTTCAACCAACTTCATTTCTTCTGCTTCTACCAACTCTCCTGCACTCAGGAAGAGGTTGTAGGCTTATTTTTTATGGAGAGGTCAGAAATTGTTTTCTCTTCTCCAAAGAGGGGAAGATCAGGATTATTAAGTTGCTTCCTTAAAAAATCTTCTTGATAGGAAGGACTTTGGGAGAAAACTGGAAGATCCAGGAAGAAAAATCTGGGAGCTGTTTTGATTCAAATATCAGCTATATTTAGTCTTTAAAATCGGGTGTGCAAAGCCAAGAAGCACCTGAGCCTGAGACATGATGCTATAATTATTTGAATGGGGTTTGGAAGTGGGGGAAGGGGAAGTGAAATGGGCACCTCTCACTTTCCAGAGAAGACTCTTAGGTAAAGTCTACACTGCCCCGATAATCAGTGCCCGCTCAAGTTTCCAGAAAATGAAGCAGTAATCCAGGGTACCATCTGTGAAAGAGAACTGAAAGTGTATGTTCAAGAATGGTATAGATTAAAGGCACAATTATTCACTTTGCTTATTGCACCTAAGTTTAGCTCTGACAATGACTCACATAGTTCAAGCAAAAACACTGGCCCTGACTGATTTGCCAGTTACCTCTGGCCTGTCTGTTCCCTGGCCTCCTTGCGAAGGGTAGAAAATGGTATTAACATAGGCACAGACTCAACAAAGAAATCCTTTGGGATGGATGTCTCCTTTTCCTCCCCAGGTGGCCCTCAGAAGCTGCTGTATGCCCTCTATCTCCTTGTCGTCCTTCCGGCTTTGCCTCAGGCTGCCACGCACAGCTAGACTTGGCTATAAGTATAAGCACAGCCCACGTTCTGTTTCTGCCTCTCCTCCCCCTCCACTTAAGAAGCATAGTCTACCTCCTTTTTTTTCAAGCCAGCTTTATCCTGAGCTCATGTCTAGTTACCCCAGCAGCAAAATGCCCTTTGTCTTCCGGTGTTCAATTTGGTCTGGGTAAGACTTCCAGGGGACCCAGAGGAAGTAATTCTTTTGGGCACAGCAGAGGCCTCCAGGTGAAGGCTAGCTCAGGGAAGCAAAAGGAATGAATGGTATTGGTAATCAGTCCTTGGATCCCACAGACAACTGGAGTGAGAGACATAAGAGTGGGAGTGACCTCAATGAGACCCTCTTCTTGATGCCCAAGTACAGTGAGCTTTTCCAGTAAACACTCTGCCAACCCAAAGCACTCATGACTGAGAAGCAGCTTAGTCTGTTTCTCCCACTTGCTCCGGTCAGCTGAAACTGAGGCACAGGATCCCACAGCTGATTTCTCCATCTGCTGAGTTGATTCCAATAAGACCAGATGAAGATTCCTTCATAAGCAGGTACTTCAGATCAGACATTCAAGGTAGCAGGAAAATTAGAACTCTTTTGATTAAGACTCTCTTCTTGGCATTTCAGCAACACAGACTGAGGGGGAACTATGTTGGAATCGCAACACCAAGGGCTGCCTTCTTGGAAAGCGGACACGCATAACTCCCACTGCTGTCACCTGCCACAGGGAAAGAACCCAAGACTCATGGAAGGTAATAGCCAGCAAGCAGGCTGTAGGTGAGTTGGAGAGTGAGGGTGGGGGTAGCTAGAAGATTGAGGAAGAGGAAAATGGCAGGAAGAGGTTTCCAGTATGCATTTTCACTTTCTACATGGGAATTGATGGGCAAGTCCCTTAGGAATGAGATGAGGAGAGATTTGCAGCCTCCTTCTGCCCAGATCTCTTACACACACACACACACACACACACACACACATCACAGCCCACCTAGAGCCCAAGAGGAGGACAATAAGGACTTGGTCTGGATCACTTCTTCATGAGTCCCCCTGAGGTCCTGGGAAGAGAATAACCTCACCTGTGTCTATGGGAGACAGAGTCCCAGTTCAGAGACCACAGTTGCTGCTCCAGCTGGAAGATTCGAAATGCCATGTAGGATGATGATATGATCAGGAGGCAGATCCTAGAGTAACAAGAGAGCGAGCAATGTCTGGATCAAACCCCCCCAAAGAAAAGAATCCCATCTCTCTGATTTTTCCAGACTATTAAGGGCCTCATAAACAGAAGACCAAAGCCTTTCTGCATCAGGAATAACTCGGATGAGGTCTTATTTCCTTCTAGTAGTGAGAGGGGAACAAGACCCCTAACACAATAAACTACAGCCACTTACCACACATCAGGGAACCACCTAGACTTTTTTTTTTCTTCTGCCTTGGGAAAGGATCTCAACCAAGCATCTATAAGGGTTGTCATCTTCTATTACCATATTCATTAGGATTGGCACCATTGGTCTCAAGACTTAGTGGGTATTGAGTGGCTTTCTGACCCTCAAGTCCCATATCCCTGAAGGCCCAATGAGTTACACTCTTTATGGTGATGCCCAGGAAGGCTTAAATGATAAATATTGAAGTAAAAATACCCACAAAGCTCAGGAAGTTAGCATATTAAAGAAAAAGAACCATATAACCCATAGATACTCTTGTGTATTTATCTTGACTTCTCAACACCTTCACTCCCTACTTAGGGGCTGCCAGGCCCCTCAAACATCCTGCTATAGCCTAACTTTGGAACCCTAGAATTCAGTCTTCAGAGAAAGATCTTTTAGAAACAAGGAGCTTAAACCTCCTATACATTTATGTTCCACAAACCTACCCCTACAGGAACCAAGTCTCTATGCTTCTCAAAACTAAAACAAAAATGCTTCCATTCTGAAGCTACAGAGCAACTCAGATTGCTTCCCACCCTCCCTCAGCTCACATCCTTAGATCATGAACAGCATCTCTGGAATTCTCAGTTCTCAGGACTCTTCTATAGTGCTGCTGCTAATAACAATAGGAACACATAGTGCTGCACAGCACTTTAAAATACTCTACACATAATCTTATATGATCCTTGCATTATTATCCCCATTTTACAGTTGAGGAAAAAGAGAGTACCAAGAGTTTAAGTGGTTTGACCAGGGTCCCAAGGCCATCCAATAACAGACTCAGGGCTGTAACCCAGATGTCAATGATAGGAAGTTCTTCCCACTACATCATGCTAACTCCCTTCACATAGTTTTGTGCTTTCAGAAGCTGCTCCTGACATATATCTGTGGATGAGACAGAGTAAGGGGATTAAAGAGCTCTAATAGACTTTGGTTAGACCAGATGGCCTCTGATACTCTCCCCTGCTCTTAAATGTGAGTAATACTGTGATTTCCTTGGGCCTGAGTTTTAAGTATATTGATATAACCCGTAAATGCTGTCCTAAAGGGCCTAAGGGTATTGAACACTCCCAGAATCAAGGAGAAAGGAGAAATACTTCAGGAAGGGTGGAAATGAGGAGGCAATTAACCTATTTTCATACTAAAAAATTCCACATGTTCCATAACTCATTTTTGATCATAGGATCATAAATTTATAGTTGGAAAGGTCTTTGGGAGTCATTCTGAGGTCCAGAAAGCTTAAGAAATTTGCCCAAGGTCACACAAATAGTAAGAGGGAAACTAGGAACTGAACTCAGGTCCTCTGACTTGATTCCAGTACTAAACTAATGCTTAAATATTTCCCAAGGCCTGTGACTTCATGAGTCCTAAAACTCCTTTACCCTGAAGGGAGGGTGCTAAAATTCACCTCCTCTTTAGGATAATAAACACTCATTTGAACATTGGTACATTTCCATTCTAAATGAAACCAGAATATAAAAGAAAATTGCAGCTATGGAAGAATGACTATGAGGTTCTCATTGGAAAAAAGACAACTTCTTCATCCCTTAATAAGAGGTTGTATGAGTTGCTATAGCCAAAAATATACATCACCTACTTGCCAATTTTCTGGTGCTTATCCCTTTCAAACTTAGGGCAGTCCTCAAAGATAGAAGTTTGTGGAGTTGTTTTCAACATTCACCCCAGGACAACAAGAAATGTCATTTCATCAGGCACATGTTCATTTCACCTGGCAGTGCTCATGATGGACACAAGCAAAAAGACAGCCATGAACGAGTGACTGAAATGGGCTTATGCACCAACATGTATTATAGAGGATGAAGATGTAGAGAAAGTTCACAAAGAGTTCCCAAGATCCTCCATCCTAAGTCAATACATCCCTTAATATTTGGTAACATCATGCAAAAGTGGACTTTGAAAGGATAGGAAGATTCAAAATGCCATGTAGGATGATGATATAACTAGGAGGCAGATCCTAAGGGAAATGTTGAAAATATGGTTCAGGATTAAGAAATAAAAAAAGGCAGAGGCTTATTGGCAATAGAAAAGTCTCATGCCTATAAATCCTGAATGTTTTCTTTAAGAAGAAACCTTGAATAACATCCCAAAAGATAAAATTTTATCTTTATGGACAGATTACTGCTATAGGAATCATTCCTAAATCAGCTGTCTTTCTTCAGTCAGACCATTGACTTGCCAGAACAAAGATCAAAGAACAAAATCAGAAGAAATGATAATATATGGAAATATACATATATGTACATATATAGTAATTTACATATACACACATAAGTAGACATATACATATGTGTGTATATAAAAAATAGTTCCTGTCTGACCTATTCAAGCAAACTACTAAAACAAAAAAATGGATAATGGAAAAGACATTAACATCAGTTCCTACATATATAAAACAGTTGCTATAACAAGGCCAAAAAAGCCCAGAAAACGTCTTAGCCAACAAGCATTTTGTGTCCTTTCCAAATGGAGAGAGATAACAGTGAGGGGACAATAACAGTTTTGCAGATTCTTACAAGGGAAGAAAGTGGGAGATTATTTTCTCATGAGATGGGGAAATGAGTGAAGGAAAAAACCAAATCCAGTTAAGCCAAATCATCCTAAGAGCATTTAAAGATGAAACTGGAAAACTTCCCATATTTGTAGGAATAAGTGAATTTAAAAGCATTAAGCTCTTACCATGTGCGAAGAACAGGAGATATGAGTACAAAAACAGTGACAGTTCCTGCTCTTGAGCAGTTTACATATATAAGAGGGTAAGAAAATACACATAAAGGAGTTGTGGTTAGGGAGAGTCACTTTGGTCAGGAAAGTCACAGAGATGGAGAGTGGTACCATAGGGTAGTAGACTGACGTATGCCTTTCATGGTTCAAGAACTAGAGTTGTAGAGTAAGGTATAAATCCAGTGGTAAAGCTGTTGTTGAGAATATGGCTAGAGAATGAGGAGTGAATTGAAGCAGTTCTGAGGTCTCCCTGAAATAATGGGCCAGGTAAGGCAGTCACTGATGAGACCAGTGGGACCTTCAGGCAGAAATTCCAGATATGAAATGGTTTTAGCATTTCTATAACTATTTTCTTCATCCATGACTGCAAAACATCTCAGTCTCTGATGTACAATTTGAAGAAGTGGAAATGGCCTTAAAGAAAATAGAAGGAAAAAAAAGAGCAGTTGGATTAAACTGGACATATAGATAAGTAGATTAGATAAAGCATTCACTAAGTACTTACTACGTGCCAGGCACTGTGCTAAGCACTAGTGAAATGAATACAAGTAAGCAAGATAGTCCCTAAGGTGAAGAATCTTACATTCTAATATGAGAGAAGTTGGTGCTAAAGGCAACATAATTCTGAGGGTGTTGAGAAACTGATTCTCAAGATATCTGGAAAGGGAGAAGACAATGAATTGGAAAAAAATCATGAAGGGCATTACTACAGTTAAAAGGTCAAAAGGCTATCAATCCATATGCCTACTTTTGATCTCTACATGTATCTAAGATATCCTTCATGAAAAAATGAGAATGGAACAGTCGGGGCTTTCACAGAAGAAATTCTGTCACAGATCATGTCTTTCTAAAAAGAGATTAATACATCTAAAATGCAAGAAATGAGAAGACAAAAGCATTGTAGAAGACCACATCTTTAGTCACATAAATGACTGAAAGGTACAAAACATATGTGATCCTGTTGTTTTTGTTTGTTGATTCTTTTGAAAATTATTTGATTTTACAGAGCAAAATGCAGGCTGTCCTCCAAGGAGGCATTTCCTACACATATGATAGGGTCAGAGAAGATTCTTTGATGGGTAGAACTGAGAGCGTTTAATTCTACAATCTTTTGATTGTTAGTATAAGGCAATTAATAGTAATAATAATAGTAATAGTTTACATTCACATGGTACCTGCTATGTGCCTTTACAAATATCTCATTTGATCTTCACCGTAACCCTGGGAAGGAAGTGCTATTATTATCCCAATAATAATATTGGAAATTGAGACAAACAAGTTAAGTGACTTGCCTAGGGTCTCCCAGCTAGGAAGTGTCAGAAGTTGGATTTGAATTCAGATCTTCCTGAATTCCAGCCTGGGTACTCTATCTATTGTACTATCTCACTGCCCCAAAACTACGGATCACATGAGGATGGAGAGAAGGAAGCAAGCATTCATTAAGAATCTCTAGGCTGTATGCTAAGTCCTTTACAAATATTAACTCATTTGATCCTGACAATAATCCAAGGACGTAAGTGCTATTGTTATCCCCGCTTGATAGTTGAGGAATCTGAGACAGACAGAAGTAAAGTGACTTGCCCAGGGTCATACAGCTAGGAAGTATTTGAATGCACTGTACCACCTAGTTGCCTTTAAGAGAGGCATATGTCTCTAAAAAAGAGAGACATGTTTGCCGAGGGTGTTTGCCACTGTCATGTAGGATATCCAGCAGAGACTCTAAACAGAAGAGGGATTTCCTGCAGAAGATGAGGTCCACTAGATGTTCTTGGTTACATACAACATTGTCCTGATTGCATCAAGCCCCAGAATGTCATAGAACTTCCTATGGGAGATTCATGATGATCCAAAAAAGTTCTAACAATCCACAGAGGAAAAACCAAATGGATAAAGCATGCCTATTGTCTAGTCTCTGATACACAGTTAGAAGGATAGCTCACTGAGCTGATACCAGTATAAAATATCTTAGGTCCTGCAGCTGAAAAATGCATTGGGTCCAGAATTAAAGGGAGAAGATAGGCTGATTGCATGTGGGAAATTGTGCCATATTTCCACTAATCTTAAGATTTTCCTTGACACACACACAAAATCTTTTTGAACACCAGTAATCTTCCAGAGATGCTATATGGCAACTCTGAAAGGCCCAAATTGTGAATAACTCAAAGAAAAAAAAAATAAATAGGCCAAGGCAAGAAGTGGCATAAAAGGTTGTAAGCCCACCATGTAATGAGAATAAGGGATAAAATATGGACAGCCTAACTACTGTATTGGTACCTGTATAATGTTAAAAACCTAGAGGAACCTCCAGCTTGTTAAGTAGACCCATTATGAAGAACTTGTGGATATGAACAAGAGTTGCCGAGATGCAAAAGTGAGGATTGCAGTTGGTTAAAGGGAATTCCTCTCCCTATATGTGTAGGTCTGATTTTTTAAAAATGGTAATGAGATACCTCTGGAGTAAATGCAGGTAAAGGCCAGGAAGTATCAAGTCCAAAATTTGTGGCATGGGGTAGGGAGAACAAGCAGGTATGAATGAGAACTCCCATGTTACTATTCCAGCCATCCCCTGGCTCTGTGTCTATATTCCCTTTCTCCTTGGGCAATGGGGAGTCATCCTTATCAAGGCTCACAGGAGATGTAGGAAATGTTACCCACAAGTGCATATTATTGTTACAATATCCAACACTTACCTTAAAATTAATAAGTATGTATACTAAGAGCTGGAAGGTGACTTTTACAACCATCTATAATGTGTAGATGAGCACAGGAGAAATCCTAAGGAAGAGCCTTGGTTCCTCATGACACCAGGAAGAATAGTTAAAAGAAATAAGAAAGCAAACTAGCCTTGTGACTTTATCACAGCTTATCACAGCAGTTTATCAAACTGCTTCACCTCTATAGGGCTCTTTTTCCTCCTCTGTAAAACGAGGGGATTGGATTAGATGCTTTTGAATATATAACCTTCCAGTTTCAACATTCTGACTCAGTTAGGAGACAGCTGAACTGGAGACCTGCCTGGGAAAACTCCTGAGACCACTCCACCATACCCAAAGGCCCTCACCCCCAAAGTGAGGCTCTAAACCCATTCCTCACAGCATACATACATATACCACTTACAATACAAAGAAGAACTTGAGCACTTGATAATCCCAGGGCCTCAGCTCTGGGCTGTTCTCTGGTTCCCCCTCCAGCTCCTCCTCTCTGTGGATGGCATTATCTAAAATGGAAGAGCAGTAGAACCCATAATCCATGGTGTGCCCAGTTTCCACTCCTATTAAAGCACAGAGTCTCCTCAGAAGCTGTTGTGGAAAAGACAAGCCTCCCTGGCATAAAGTCCTGTCACTAGGATACAGCCCAAGGAATCCCAACTCCAACCCTTTCCCTGGGAACCAATTTTGTTACTCTGGGTTCTTAACTAGAATAAGGACTTTTAAATATGGGTTTTGTTGCAAAGCTTTCAGCAGTATCCAGAAAACTCTTAGAAAGCCCCACCCCACCCCACTACAGTTAACCCTACAGAACTATAGATGGGTGTGGGGACAATTGCAGGTTCTCTAATAAGCACTGATACAGATTACCCAAAGAGGCCTGTCACACAGGTTTATCCTACCCTACATAAAAGACTACATTCCCTCCCTGATACAAAGTCTAAATATTTTTATTTTATCTTTGCTTCAAATATTCTCCTTCCTTCCTCCTCCATTTTCTAGGCTCATTAGAATTCAGAAATTTACACAAATGAGTTGGGGGGAGGAGAGAATAGGTCAAAGGCCTCCCCCTAACCCTATCCCCACCCCTGCCCAGCTCACCAGATGCCAAGGGTTTCCCAGAGGGGAAAGAGCTCTTCTTGGTGCTCAGGCCACTCATAGATCCCTGATGAATGCAGGGGAAGACATTATCAGGGAAGGACACAGACAATGATTTTGGGGACATCTTTCTCCATTTCATTTCTGGAACAAGGCTGTCCTATAAAGAAGGAGAGAGATCCCAGTCTCACCAATGCTATTAAAATAGTTACCACCACCCCATCTCTAGGAGGCTCCTCTAAGATAGGGAATTGGTCCAAGGCCTCCAGATTCTCTCAGAAAACCATTACCCTGGGTATGTTCAGAGCTGTGGGAAGTTATCACCATGGCAATAAGGAGATACCTGCCCACCATTTTCCTTGCTCACTGTCTCACTGTCTCTGACTCAAACCAGCTCTTTTTGAATCTTTAATCTGAAGTGAAAGTGAATGTGAATGAACGCCCTTCCTTCTGTGATCTGAAAACAGATAACAAAAGGAAAGTTCCACTGGAATATGTTTGATGCCAGGGTTCAGTGTAAGCTGGAAACAGACCCAATCAATACCCCCAAATCTCCCAAGGTACCAGTTCCATCATCCCTTCAGTCAGAGCAACACCAAGACCCACTCATAAGCTATCCCCTTCTCCAGACCTTCCTAATTTGCCCTGCATCAATGGAAAACAATTTCACTGAAAGATGCTCATGTAGAACTGTGACGTTATCTTAAAAATTAACCAGGCCCTGTGCATTTTTCCTTCCACTGAATCCAAAAAAGCAAGTTGTGCTCTGCCTCAGATCATCCAGGTGGAGTTTTCCCTAATCCTTGTCAGACTCCTGAGCAGATTTAGATGACTCTCTAGGGAGAGTCAGAATATTCAACATGAGACCATCTCCTCAAATACTCCATAAAGTGGATGAGAATTAAGAACAATGCTCTTGACTAAATGCTTATTACTTAGAAACTTTTCCTATCTCTCAGTATCATCTCTAAGCCTTTGCTCAGGTTGGCTCTCAAGTCCAATGCCCACCTCCCCTACCTTCTGTTCTCATGTTGTTCTATGATACAGGATTGCCAGGTCCCTCTTTAACACATCTAAAGGCAGTTTGTATGCTGGCACAAGAGCTTCCAAAGATGGCAACCTTCTACTGAAGAAGCCACTGCCCCTCAGTGCCCTAGGCAGCTTTCTAACTTCTAGATTCTAAATTGCAGAGCAGATGCCAGTCTGTGCCAGAGGAGGGAGTTCCTTACCCAGAAGAAATCACAGGTCTGGTAAAGCAAAACAAAAATAGAAAGTAGAAAGCATCAGAGTCTTTATGATGAACACATGTGGGGACCTGACCTAGACATAGGTTGGTCATTGAACTTTGCTTAAAGCCTGCTAGCCTTACTAGATTTGTGCATAGGATCTTACCAGAAAGACAGAGAAAATATGGGATTCCATTGGTCCCTTAAGCATGAGGAAGCCTGATCTATCTACAGAGCAAAATGAAATGGAAAAATGTTTCCCTCAATAGCTCCAGTGGTTTAAGTATCATCTCTATGCAGATCTTTCCAGATCTATATATACAGCTCTAGTCTCTCTCCTGAACTTCAGTCCCTCATCACAATGATCTACTGGAAATTTCTAGTAAAGGTCCCAAAGATATCTCAAATTGAACATGTCCAAAATGAAATTCATTATCTTTCCCCACAGACCACTTCCAAATTTCCCTATTTTTGTTGCGGGCACCACCATCATTACAAGCACTTCAAGTCATGTTTGACTCCTGACTCTCACTTATCCCACATATCTTATTAATTGCTAATTGTTGACATTTCTGCGTCCACAACATTGCTCTCTCCTTCTCTCCACTCACATAGCACCCATTCTAGTTTAGGCTCTCATGGCCTCTATCCTGGATTACTATAATAGACTCCTAATTGGTCTCCCTGGTTCAAGTCTCCTCCTACTCCACTCTACAGCAAAAGTGCAGGTCTGACTATGTCACTCCCTTACTCAATATATCCAGTGTCTCCCTGTTACCTCCATGATCAAAATAAAACCCTCAGTTTGGTATTTAAAACCCTTCCCAACTTGGCTGTAACGTACCTTTCCAGCCTTATCCACACTTCTTCCCTTCATGCACACTGTCTAGCCAAACTGGCCTTCTTACTAGGAAGGAGACTCCAGTCTCCTTCCTAATATGTAGCACTATATCTCCTTACCTTTGCACTGGCTATACCCAGTGCCTAGAATGTGCTCCCTCCTCATCTGCACCTCTTAAAATCCCTGGTTTTCTTCAAGGCTCACCTCAGATTTTATCTTCTACATGAAGCCTGTTCTGATCCTCTCAGATGCTAGAATCCTGTCCCCAAAATTACCTTGTATCTGTTTTGTATACACCTACAGATCTAAATGTTGGTTTCCTGGGCTTGATTGTAAGTTCCTTGACAGCAGGTATCATTTCACTTTTATCTTTGTATCCTTAGGATTTAGCACATTGGGTACACAATAGATGCTTAATAAACGTCTGTTGATTGATTGATTCTTAGTTGTAGCATTCTGAGACCCTTCCATCTTTAACTCACAGGGACAGCATCCAGGGTCCTATTCCTAATCTATGTGCAGACTTGCTGATTAAGTTTCTTATTGTGATTGTCTTATGAAGGATCACCCCTTAATTTAACAACTTAGGGAGCTATCCAGTGAAATAAGAACCACAGGACATCTAGTCTGCCTTTCTCAATTTTCAGATCATGGGCAGAAAGGTAGTCTTTTGCAAAAAAAAAAAAATAAGTAAATCACAGAGCAAAGACTAGAACCCTGGTCTTCTGAATCAGTCATGAAATAATATAAAATCATAGGTAGAGATGGAAGGTACCTTAGAGGTCATCCAGTTCATCTTCCCTCATTTTCCACATGAGGAAATAGAATCTCAGGGTTAGAAAGTTTGTTGCTTAAAAAAAAAAAAGTTCTTCCTGATATTGGGCCAAAATCTGCTTCTGTATAACTTCTACCCACTGGTTCTAGTCCTACCCTTCTAGATACAGGCAAAACAAGTATTATCCTTCACATATCAACTCTTCAAATACTTGAAAAACTATCATAGCCTCTGGAAGTGTTCTGTTCTCCAACCTAACCAAACCTTTTGTGGTAGGTTTTCAATTTATTTCACCACCCTAATTTAGGACCCACTTCTTCTTGTTTCATCAACCTATACCTTTTCTTTTCTTTCTTTCTTTCTTTCTTTTTTTTTTTTTGGCTAGGAAATAAGGTTAAGTGACTTGTCCAGGGTCACACATTAAATGTCAAGTGCCTGAGGCCAGATTTGAACTCAGGTCCTCCTGACTCCCAGGGCCTTCTAAGTCCTTGGGTATGGCCTTTTGACTGAGTCCAAATTTTATGGAACAAACCCATTTTATTAAGGGGATTTGTTCTGTGAAGTTTGGATTCAGTCAAAGGGCCTCAAGTGAGGACTTAGAGAGCCACATGTGCCTCAAGGCCACAGGTTGCCCACCCCTGGACTTTCCCTTAAGGAATAAAAGGAAAACGACAATTCATACATACTTAGGAAATACTAATTAGTGGGATGTACTATCAGTTCAGTTCCAACAGGTGACAATGGAGTGTAAACAAGAGCCAAATTCACGACTTTGCTAACAGATGTTCCCACTTTGAGGGCACTGACCAAAGCAATCTGGAACCTTAACTACATTGTGCTTGGCCCCCTGAACAGGTAACCTTGTTGCTCCCTAGAGTCTCCCATTCCTACAGAGTCATTGTGGGTCAACAGCCCTTTGCTCCCACAGGCAAATCTCACCAGAGACTCAGAGTCAGGTTCATCCGGATATTCTCTTACACACAGACTCTTCTTACTGGAGGGCTGTGGAATAAAGGAAGTAACCGTTACTGTCTCTCCACAATGAAAGCTCCCTGGAACTTCGTTTTCAGAGAAATCCTGAGGGTCTAATTCCTGGGGATCCCAGTCCAATGTGGGGGAGCAAGGCTCACAGGCAAAGAGACAGCTAACTATGCTTCTTTATCAGAACCTTCATTCTGTTCTCCTGCTTTTGAGGAGGCAATGTTCTAGGGTTCCCTTCTCTCTTTACCCTTCTTTTTTCTCCTATTTCTTGCTGTTTCTAAAAGCCTAAAATAGAGGTTGGAAGAGGACCTTGATCAGGAGCTCTTCTCTTGGAATGAATTGACCTCAGGTCATCCCAGATGACAGGAGGACCATGAATTTGGATAGGAAAATATGATTGGCATCCTTTTGTCAACCCATGTGTTTTATTTTACAGGTTTAAAAACATTATTCTGAGAAGGGGTCCGTGGGCTTCACCAAACACTGCCAAAAGGTCCATGACAAACAAAAGGTTAAGGACCCTTGTTCTAAATGAAGGTGAAGGTAGGAAAAAGAAACCATTCTGATGGTCTGAAAAGAAACCTAAGCCTCCTAGATAGGACTAAGCTTCAAAGCAGATGAGCAAACACACACAGGGATGGCAACACACACACACATACACACACAAAATGCACACCCACAAGTACAGAAATATTCAGACAGGTGTGGTAAGCAAATAGCTCACTCTGTCACAGGGGAGGAATGGCCTTCGTAGGAAGTGCTAGTCCCTTAAAATTCAGCTCAGGGGTACTCTTCTCTGGAATCTACCCTTCTGTTTCCTACCTTCTCCTTTGCCCTTCCCTCCTTCCCCATCTCCTGCTTGCCAGTATTACTACCATTGGGGTAAAGAGTGAAAAAGGCTTTGCTCAGGGAGAGAACATATGAGAAGGGCTCCCTCCGTAGAACTGATGGCTATAGGCAGGGCCAGCTCCCAGAGAAAGCCAGTGCCCAACATTACCTGCAGATGGGTGCAGACTCTCCTCAATACATCATACACGCTGTCCCTTGAGATCAGCGACACGAAAATATACTAGAACCCAAGAGAAATAGCAGCAATGAGAAAAGGGGGCTGACAATATCTGCTGTGCTCATGCTGTCCTTCAAGCATAGCCTCAAAAAGATACCCAGCTCTAACGTTGGCAGTTGCCTGTGGGATACAGTCGAGGAGTGCTGTGAACCCTCCCCCACACATATACCTTAAAAATATAGCTTTCATAAACCTATCACAATGGATGCAATTTAACCACGAGAGACATTTACATCCCTTTGAATTTGGAAGACATTTTAAACTTCCAGAGTCTCCCATGAGTATGCAAACCTTGCTGGGGGCATTCTAAATAAGCCTTATTTACATCATGAAGAGAGGGGCAAGGTTAGAGAATGCATAGCAGTGGGAGATAGGTGCTCACAAGGGAGGTGAAGGTGGCCAAAAAATATTCCTAAGTTTGTTACCCATGGGTGAGCCCTGGCTAGGATCTAATTCTCTTAGATTCTCTTGGGCTCTGATTTATACATGTTGTCTCCCCCATTAGCATGTGAGCTGCTTAAGGGCAAGGACTGCTGTATTGTTTTTTCTTTGTGTCCCCAAACTTAGCACAGTGTCCGACACATAGTAGGTACTTAACAACTTTTTTTAAGGACAGCTAGGTAGTGCAGTAGATAGAGCACTGGCCCTGGAGTCAAGAGGACCTGAGTTCAAATCCAACCTCAGACGCTTGACACTTACTAGCTTGTGTGATCCTGTGCAAGTCACTTAACCCCGATTCCCTCACCAAAAAAATTTTTTTTTTATTAATTGGGTCACATCAGTTCAGAACTTTATTGCTTTTGCCCAAAGGATTGCAGGATCTAGGTTTATCTGGCCTTAGGGCTAAAAGGCAGGTGTTAATTTGTGTTCTGATTTCTCTATTACCATGCTTCCTTTTACGTGATACACCCCTGCCAGGAGCATACAGATTTTTGGCCCACAGCTTCATGCCCCTGGGTGGATCATCACCTCTTACTGAACTCACAGCAAAAGCTGCCTCAACCTCGAAGAGAATGTTTGCTTCAAGACTGTTAGTCTGGAGAGGTCACCTCCAGTGCCAAGAGGTCCAAACATGTTGGCCCACAGGTCAGCCACACACTGAGCCAGAGGTTCTGTGCCATTGATTTGAGTAGTAAGTGAGAGCTAAGGTCAGCAGCTTGGAAGAGAAAGAAATCTAGCCCAGGAAAACAGTGACTCGAGTTTTACTTCAGTGGTATTAAGAGTGTCTGTGTGCACAAATATGGCAAACTTTGGGAGGGAAGAAAGAGTAAGTGAGAAGGAATAAAGGTGGGAAAGTGACAGGAGGGACAGTAAAGGAATTAACACCATATCAAGTCTCCCAGGTTCCCTCCTGACCAAGAAGAGTCTTGTGGTGAGCCCTGTTTCTTATTGGGTCAAGGGGGCACAAGTATTCCCAAGCTACCGTGTTCTGTTCCCATCACATGAATCAATTTAGAATATTACTATTAATGGTATAGTAAGTATGATTAGTTCTACAGTTCAGTGACATGCTGAGTTCAATAGTTTTTGTGGACTAGCCTAGAAATCTAACCACCATTTCCAACATGGTTTCTATGGGGGAAATGAACTTCAAATTAAAAAGCAACCTACTTATCATAGAATGTAATAAAGCACAGCTATTGTTAGGATAATGACCATTTTCAGTAACTCTTTTTTCTTAGGATAAAGAAGCACCTCCATAGTTCAGAATCCCTGGGCACAGCTTGGGGCAACAGGGGCACAGAATAGTTGGCCTCTGTGCCAACAGTAAAGTATAATTTAAGAAACAATTTTAGACCTGACATTACATTTCACTGTGAGAGGAAGGAGGGCATGTAGGGCCATACTGGCCTTTGTGGGGAACTTTGGCTGGCCCTGGGATGGTGGTGGTGAACTATGTAAAAATTGCTGTTTTCAGTCATGTCTGACTCTTTGTGACCCCATTGAGGGTTTTCTGGGCAAAGATACCAGAGTGGCTTGCCATTGCCTTTTCCAAATCATTTTGCAGATGAGGAAACTGAGGCAAACAGGGTTAAGTGACTTTTCTAGGCTCACACAGCTACTAAGTGTCTGAAACCAGATTTGAAATCAGGAAGATGAGTCTTCCTGACTCCAGCTCAGCACTCTATCCACTGTGCCACCAAGCTTTCTCCATTTAACAATACCCAGTCTTGAAAGGGCAATACCTGCTGACACAGGGAAGGGGGAAGAGATTCCTGATGGGGAGTATGGAGACTCACTGACCTTCCTGCTGGTGTTCGTTGTGATAGCCAGTCCATTGGGCAAGAGTCTGGCCATCTTGTGCTTTTTTATCATCTGGATGGAGAGCACAGGGATGACTACCTGAAGGGAGAGAAGCAAGTTCCTCTTGGGATCCCTCCTCCCCGACCTTGTCCCTTACATCACCAACACTGCCCCACAGATATTCAGCCCCTGATGGCTGTGAACTGGGTAAAGGAAAATAAACTCTGTAGAGTGTGACTCCACCTTTTATGGTATCTATGCTTTAGCTCCCCCTGTCCCTTCCCCTAGTCCTTCTACCTCCCACTGCAGAGAGGTTCTAGAAGCAGTTTTCCTTCATTCCATAACCTCCTTCCAGCTGTCGACTCATATGTCCACCCACAAAGACTATTTCTGAGAACAATGTAGTCTCCAGAGAAACTGAAAAGTTCTGCTGTTTCACCTTCAAAATAACTATCTCCCAACCCTTTCCCCTTTACAACTAGACAGGTATGCGAGCACTTCCAAAGGCACACTCCCTGATTCCCACTCCTGGTCTCCATCCTTGCTGGAGAAAAGCCATGTACATACACAGGATGATCTTGACTAGTCGAGTGGCCAGGAACTAGTTGTTCTGCCTAATCCAAAACATGGTGGCCATGTTGTGCTAGCTATCACACATAGAAGATTAGCAAATATAAGAACTAGCCCCAATTTTAATGATTCAAAATCTATTCTGGATCTTGCAGGGCTTCTTTGGACAAGGTTTATCAGTTGATGGAGTCAGAGAGACCAATTTAGACCTTGTCTGGTCTCTGGGATGTCCTCTCACTATGAGAGGGACCTGACTAGAGGTCTCTCATCCCAAAGTTTTGGGGGAAGCAGAACACAAGGGAGGATTCAATTCCTTAACATACTTCTCTAGCTCATAGGAGCTGAGATACCCAAAGTGACTGTGTTTTACAGCTATTCACTCATTCAGTTCACAAATACTTATTGATATCTTCAGATGTGGAGGAGGTTAAAAAATCCATAAAATATATCATCTAGCTTCAAAGAGCAGACTATCTGGACCAAGCAGTCAGTTGTAACAGATGCCAGAGATTGCAGACAGAGTTCCCAAAAGGGGGCAGCACCACCATACCTTGATGTCTTTCCCAAAGAGACTGGCATGAAAGCAGAGCCAGTTGGGGGAGATGTATAGACGACCTTGTATGAGGATATCCCTTTGGAGTGCACAGGAACACACTGGAATATAGAAATACAAAGATATATTCCACATAGATGGACCTATAGTCCAAAACAAACAAGACGTAAGTCAGATAACACAGTATAAGTCACAGTATGAAAAGAGAGAGGCCCTGGGCCCCCAGCCACTACATGAAATATATGAAGCCAAGGCTTGAGATGTCACACACACACACACACACATACACACACACATACCCCTACCTCTGGTTCCCTGAACCAGGGAGGTCAGCTGTCTGACTAAATATCCTACAGCTTCTTCTGCCTTCAGTTCTTTTGGACTTCTCTAGGGGCCCTCCCAGGAAACAAAGACTATTGGAAAAGACAGATTCCCTCTTCTATGATACTCCATCCCCCACACCTGGGATACTCTCCTTTACCTGTATTTATCTCTTAGTGACCCTGGTTTCCTTCATGACTAAGGCTGCCTTCCATGGGAAGCTTTTTTAAATCCCCTCCGTCCTCCAGCTGCTACAGCCTTCCTCTCAAGGGTTACTTTCTATGTTTTCTGTAGATATCTTTTATGTTCCTAATTATTTACATGTTGTCTTCCCCACTAGAATGTAAGCTCCAAGAGGGCAGGGACTGTTTTAGCTTTCTCTGTATCCCTTTCCCTTAGCACAGTGCCTGGCACAGAGAGAGTACTTAATAAATGCTTGTAGGTTGTTGGTTGATTGAATTGTGATCCTAGCACACCCACCTGATGCCACAAAGTCAGAAAGAGGGCCCAGGAGACCTTGCTTTCTAACCCGTCTTCACCTTCCCCTTCAGCCTCTCCTACTTTGTTCCTAGCCTTTCAATCTCTAAATATTTCTTTTTTCATTTTATTTTATAGTAGGAGGTGGGAAGGTGGGAAGAATAAGAGACATGGTGAGATATTGTCCCAAAAACGGAAGAAAAGAAAGAAAATAGGGTTACTGAGGCCTTTGAAAATGCCCAGAAGGCAAGCTGGAAAGAAACAGGAACAGGACAGCTACATGTTGAAGTTTTTAAGGAAATAGGAAAAGTAACCTGTATTATTAAGGAAAAAGGAAAAAAGTAACTTGTATTTAAGTGAGATTCATGTTTTCATGTAAAGTCCTCTTTCTCTGTTCCACTTAATATGTGGAAATATTTGTTTTAATTTGGTGTTTGTTAAGTTCAGAATTTTAAAAAATTTAATCATTTCCTACATAATCCTACTTCTTGCCCTTCTCTGTCTCCAATAATGCCCTTATTTCCCAGAACCCATCCCCCCAAACTTTTCCATTCCCCCAGAGTAGCCTGCTATCACTCAGAATCCTAGAAACCTTTGTCCCAAGACACCTTTCAAAGCCCACTTCAGAAAAATCTCATCATCTCTTCCTTCCTATGACATGGCTGCGCTCTCCATAGTCATCTGCCTCACTCACAATTTTCAATCATCCTCTGTTCTATCACCTGCAAAGCCTTTTTCTTGGTGTTACCATTCCTTGCTCTCTATCTTTCTCCACTGCTTCCAAGCCCTGGCCCTTGGCTCTCTACCCTCACACAGTGGTACTATGCAGGAAAGATCCTTCTTCAAAAAACTGATAGTGAGGAGGAAACTCAGCAGTTTCCATAATAAGAACAATAACAAAAACTCACATTTATAAAGCCATTTGCAATTTACAAGAAACATTTAAGACCTCAACTCTGTGTCCTAGCTCAGCAAAACCTTATGATATTTTTAGAAAAATGGGGACCAACAAATGTTCAAGGGCCACCAATACCCATCTACAAGCACTACGAAATCCTAGCACATCTGAGCTAGAATGACCGTTGGAGTAGTTCAAAACCCTCTTCTTGTATATGAGAAAGTTAAGTCCCAGAGAATAGAAATGACTGGCCCTTAGTAAGAAGTAAGTGTTAGAACTAGGACTTTAAGGTTCATCCTGACTCCAAATCTTTCTACTGTACATTGCCTCTCAAAGACTACCAAAAAAAAAGGTCCCTAATTTGACCACCTCTAAGTAGGAATACCCAAGAGATTCTCTGTGATCCAGTCAGCCACAGAGTCTGGGCTGAAACTGTATCATTAGCTCACCTTTCAGAACAGTCTCCTCTGGGGGGATGTCCTTGAACAGCTTATGATATTGGTGGTTGTATTTATTTGGTGTCTGCAAATAAACATAGCAAGTTTGAAACACTATAGACTTTGGGTGGCAGAGGCCAGCCAGACTGCCCCAGACCCAAGATCCCCAGGTAGCACACTCTAAAAGGAATTCAGTAACTTGCCAGGAAGACAAAGGTATATTTGAATGGTAGTTTTCTATATTGAGCAGGTCTCTACAAGTTAAAGCTATCACTTGGACTTGCAGTCTTTCATCAAGTGAAGAAGGCCTAATGCTTTTGTGTTGACATAAGAGGTAACACTATCTTAAGTCTCCAGATAGCACAGGAGTCTGATGCTCACCTGGTTCCCTGGTGACTGAGCCAATGGCAAAATCATTGTCAGTGGAGTTAAGACTTGCAAAATCATCAGAACCCAGCCTCCACTCCCTCAGCAGCTCTCTGGCATCTCAGGCTGGCTCAAGGGGAGGCCCCAGCTCTTGCTTCTCCCATCCCTTGGAACTTGACTCCTGGAAGACAGGGACAAGAGTCCCAGACTCACCACTTCGAGGCTGCTTTTCTTTATGTCTTCATCCTTTAGGCCTTCAGGCAGATGCACGCTGCAAGAGAGACATTCCATTCTAGGGATAACAAACCCATTGAATTCTCTCCCAAGTCCATGCTTCCTCAGGCCCCAGTCTGCTCCCCCATTCTGCCTTGGCTATGCTCCGGAGATCCAGGACAGCTGCTCTGAAGATAAAAGTTATTCTCTGGGTATGAATATGAGTACAAGGGTACAGGGGAGCATGACTAATTTGAATGTTCAAAGATTCTTGGGCCATCATCAGTAAGTTCCTCCCAGCTCTGCTAAGTGCATCACTCTTAGGAAGGCTAAAGGTCTCAAGCCCTACTTTATCCTCATTGAAGGTCCTGTCAGTCTCAAACCTTTCTCCATTTCTCTGTCTGTCAGGCAACCTGGGGATAAGCTTAAGGCCTGGGAACGTCAATCATAGGGAATGAGTAGAGTCAAAGGGGAGGGAGTAGAAGGCAAGAAACTCACAGTTCAGAAGGGCAGGACTGTGAGGACCCTAGGAGCTCAACCAGGGGCATGACCCAGCCAGATCAGAAATGTTCTGCTCCCAGACGCTGCCCAGCTCAAAGTGAAAGTAATCTGCCAGAGACAGCCTGAGGCTAGGCTGGGAAAGGAAGCTAGCAGGAGGTAGATGCAAGTGTTAAAACCCAGTCGTTTGTACTCCCCAAGAAGTGTATGGGAAAGAGGAAAGTGCTGAGAAGTCTCTCAGGTAAAGGAGGGAAGGGAAGGGTACTTCAGTTGGCCTTTTAGCAAGCCCTTCAAATTTCAAGGCTAGGCTTTGAGGAAGGAGGAAGTAATTCCCAAAGTGCTGTTGGGAAATGCTCTTCCAAGTATGTCCTCAGGGAATTTGTGTTTGGGTAGAAGTGCTCACCTCTCCTCCAGGGTCTCCAGGAAGGGGTTCCTTTCTTTTGGAGATTCCTCCAACTTCTCCAGTTGAACCACTGGGACCTTCAAAGGAACTGTTTTTTCATGCATCTGTCTGGAGCTGTAGAAGGCCCAGAAAGCCATGCAGAGACACAAAAAGGCAGACACACAAGCTCAGACCATTAGAAGAAGGTGGGTCTGCACTCCTCACAGAGAGTAGAGCCTAAGGCTCAGCCTTCATCAACCCAATCTGAATGTAGGCTCTTACTCTATAGGAAGGGTTAGAGAAGTAGCTTGGGGGTAGTTAATGTACCCAAAGCTGCTGCAGAGCTCAGAAATCTTGAAAGCATGACCTACATATTTTGGAAAAGTCATTAAACTGTGCATACTTTATGACCACATGTTTGGCCACTCCTGGGGCAGCTAGGTGGCACAGTGGATAGAGCACTGGGCTTGGAGTCAGGAAGATCTGAGTTCAGATCTGGATTCAGACACTAGCAGTATGACCTAGGCCTCAGGCATTTACCAGCTGTATGACCCTGACCAAGTCACTTAACCTCTGTTTGCCTTAATCCACTAGAGAAAATAATGGCAAACTGCTCTAATATATTTGCCAAGAAAACTCCAAATGGGGTAACAGAGAGTGGGCCATGACTGAACAATAACAAAAAACAACAACAAATGCCACTACTAAGTTTATAACCCAAAGAGAGCAAAGAAAGAGGAAAAGGACCTACATACATAAAAATATTTATAACAGTTCTTCTTTTAGTAGACTTAATTGGAAACTAGAAAACATCCACCTATTGAGGAATGGCTAAACAAATTATGATATATGAATACAATGGAATTTGTGCTCTAAGACATGGCAAAATGGATAGTTTCAGAGAAAACTGGGAAAACTTCTGAACTGATGCAGAGTGAAGTATGTAGAATTAGGAAAACAATTTAGATCATGACAATGACATTCTAGAGAAAAACAACTTTGAAAGACTTTCAAACTCAGATCAATCCACTGATAAATCACAAGTCCAGAGACCCCAGGATGAAATATGCCACCCACCTTATGCCAGAGAGATGATAGACTTAAAATACAGAATGAGAGGTACACTTTTAATATGAGCAACATGGGAATTTGTTTTGCTGAAATGTATGTGCATGTATGTGTATGTATGTATATATACACACATACATATATAATTATATATACATATATGTATTTGTATGTATTCTATGAAGGTTTCATTTTCTGATTTTTTAATAGAAAAAAAAGAAGGAAAGAATGCTTGACCTGTTATATGTTCAAGAAAGCCAAGCTATCCAGAATACACACACACACACACACACACACACACACACACACACACACACACAATCTTGCCTGCTGGCTCATGCTGATAGATGTTTTTAAAAAATAAAAACAAAAATTAAAAATCTTAACCAAAATATGATACATCCATAAGAAACAGCAACCAACTTATGTGATAAAATTCTACCCAAACATGCCAAATATTGGCTGTTTAATGACTCTCTCCAGAGGTTAACATGGACTCCCCTTAGGCAGTTTAATGGGTCCTTTACTAGGATAAGGAAATCTTTCAGCTACCTCCACAAAGAAGAGGAATCCATGATAGTAACCAGGTTCAAAAGAAGAAGAGGAGTTCAGAGTTTGTCCTTTCTTAAGCTTGGCCCTGTGGCATAGGTGGGTGTAAGAGAACAATCCTCTCTAATTCCAAGGGAAATTGTTATTTTTATAATGTGTAATTTCAATATTGTAAACCAGTAGTAACAGGATTCTGGGTGAAAAATCATTGTCCTGGGAGACATACCTAAAGGGTGAGTCTATCAAAGACTCAGAGGCAATAAGGTGGCCCAGAGAATAGAGAGCACTGGTTCTGGAGTCAAGAAGACTTGAGTTCAAATCTGGCCTTAGACACTTACTAGCTGGTGACTCTGGGCAAGTCACTCTGCCTCAGTTTCCTTAATTGTAAAATGGGAATAATAATAGCACTTAACCTCTCAGAATTGTTGTGAGAATCAAATGAGATAATATTTGTAAAGCACTTAGCACAGTACTTGGGCACATCATAAATGCTTAATAAATGCTTGTTTCAACTTGGAACTCAAAATCTTGTGGAAGTGAATGTGGAAACCTAATTGGAAATAAATAAATTGAAAAAAGAAAAGTGAGGGACTATGGGTGCAGAATAGTATATATAATGCCAAACTCAATGTGATGGTCAGTTTTGCAGAACTGTTTTCTTTTTCTGGCTTTTTCTTTGTTATAAGGGATGGAACTATGGGAGAGAGAATAGATGAAACATATCAGCATATGTAGGTGATTTTAAAATGTCAATAAAGCATTTTCAGTAATAATAGCAAATACTTGTTTTCTTCCTTCCTTCTATCCTTCTTTCTTTCCTTCCAAAGAAGACCTGGGGTAAATGAGTAGAGCTGGTAACCTGAGTTGCCAATGCACTCAGAGTACGGCAATTACTTGCTTGACACTATGAGGTGTGACTGGGGAGGGTAGAGGTAGGAGGAAAACAGAAACTTAGGCTGCTCCACAGGAAACTTGGACTTTGATACAAGAAGAAACACAAGAGTCTGCTGCTGGATGTGTGATGTGTCATGCACACAGGTTCGAGGGAAAATGGTGGCTACCCTGAAGGCCATTAGAAAAACCAGGGCCAAGCACTAGCCTAAAACAAAAAGTGGAAAAGATGAACCTCCACTGAAAATCAGAGCACACCCAGATATAGTTAAGATGAAGAATAGGAATCATAGTTAAGTGGTTAAGTCAAATGCTACTGGCAAAACCTGTCTAGACTTCAGTTGCTTAGATTAAGAAACCTATGCTCTGGAAACTCTCTGCTTTCTTCATTTCCTTTTATTTTCCCTTGAGATTCCTTTAAAATTTTTCTTTTTTGAAAAGTTCCACTTTATAAACCCATAGAACCATGGAGCCAAATAATCTGCCCCTGCCTGCTGTAGGCCAAGCTATCTAGGGAAGAGCACATGGTATCTGAAGTGAGTTCTGGTGGTGGCAGCAGCTGTCCCTGGTTCTTTGGACAAAGCAAGTGGAACAGGGGTATAGAGAAGAAGCAAACTTCATATGGCATAGAGCTGGAGGACAGCTATGACTACTGGTTCTTTTTAATACAGTGGAAGTATACTACTGTATACTACAGTACATTAGAAAGAGCACTAGTTTGGAGTCAGAAGACCTGGGTTCGAAACCAAGCTCTGTCCATTTCTCCAAGTTTCAGGTAAACTGGACTAGATGGCTTCTAAAGTCTCTTTTAGCTCTATGTAGAATCCTACAGTGCCTCAGTTTTCCCTATTAGAGACTGATTTCAGTGTATTGAATCTAAGGATTTAGAGTCCAGACCCAGTAATCAGTTAGGCAGCTGGGTAGTGCAGTGAATACAGTGCTGGGCTTGGAGTCAGGAAGACTTCTGAGTTCAAGTCCAGCCTCAGACACTTACTAGCTATGTGACACTGGGCAAGTAACTTAACTCTGTTTGCCTCAGTTTCCCCATCTGCAAGATGAGCTAGAGAAGGAAATGGTAAACTACTCCAGTGTCTTTTATTTTTTTGTAAATAGTATTTTATTTTTTCCAATTACGTGTAAAGATAGTTTTCGATGTTTATTAATTTATTTATTTATTGGCTAGACAATGGGGTTAAGTGACTTGCCCAGGGTCACATAGCTAGTAAGTGTTATGTGTCGGAGGCTGGATTTGAACTCAGGTCCTCCTGACTCTAGGGCCAGTGCTATCCTCTGCACCACCTAGCTGCCCCCCAGTGTTTATTTTTATAAGATCTTATGTTTCAAATTTTTCTTCCCCCCTCCTCCCCATCCCCCTCCTCAAGACAGCAAGCAATTTGATATAGGTAATACATGTTCAATCATGTAAACATATTTCCACATTAGTCATGTTGTGAAAGAAGACACAGAACAAAAGGGAAAAGCCACCAAAAAGAAACACACAAAAAAGAAAACAGTATGCTTCGATCTGCATTCAGACTTTATAGTTCTTTCTCTGGAGGTGGACAGCATTTTCCATTATGAGTCTTTTGGAATTGTCTTGGATCACTGTATTAATGAAAAGAGCTAAGTTTATCATAGATGATCATCGCACAATGTTATTGTTACTGTGTACAATGTTCTCCTGGTTCTGCTCACTTCACTCAGCATCAGTCCATACAAATCTTTCCAGGTTTTTCTGAAATCCGCTTGCTCATCATTTCTTACAGCACAATAGTATTCCATTACATTCATATACCACAACTTGTTCATCCTTTCCCCAATTAATGAGCATCCCCTCAATTTCCAATTCTTTGCCACCACAAAAAGAGCTGCTATAAATTTTTTGTACATGTAGGTCCTTTTCCTTTCTTTTATGATCTCTTTGGGATACAGACCTAGTAGTTGTATTGCTGGATCAAAGGGTATATGCACTGATTGCCTTTTGTGCATAGTTCCAAATTGCTCTTCAGAATGGATGGATCAATTCAGAATTCCACCAACAATGCATTAGTGTCCCAATTTTCCCACATCTTCTCCAACACTTATCATTTTCCTTTCCTGTCATATTAGCCAATTGGATAGGTGTGAGGTGGTACCCCAGAGTTGTTTTAATTTGCATTTCTCTACTAAATAGTGATTTAGTGAATTTTTTCATATGACTATGATTAGCTTTGATTTCTTCATCTGAAAACCGTCTGCCCATATCCTTTGACCACTTATCAATTGAGGAATGACTTGCATTCTTATAAATTTTACTCAGTTTTCTATATATTTGAGAAATGAGGTCTTCATCAGAAATACTTGCTATAAAAATTGTTTCCCATTTTTCTGTTTTCCTTCTAATCTTGGTTGCATTGGTTTTGTTTGTGCAAAAACTTCTTAATTTAATGTAATCAGAATTTTTCATTTTGAATTTTATAATGTTCTCTATCTCTTGTTTGGTTGTAAATTCTTCCCTTCCCCATAGATCTGACAGATGAACTATTGCTTGCTTTCCTAATTTGCTTATGCTATCACTTTTTATGTCTAAATCATGTACCCATTTTGACCTTATCTTGGTGTATGGTAAGATGTTGGTCTATGTCTAGTTTCTGCCATACTATTTTCCTATTTTCCCAGCAGTTTTTGTCAAATAGTGAGTTCTTATCTCAGAAGCTGGAATCTTTGGGTTTATCAAACTGTAGATTACTATAGTCATTTACCACTGTGTCTTGTATACCTAACCTATTTCACTGATCCACCACTCTTAATTTTTAGCCAATACCAAATTGTTTTCATGATTGCTGCTTTATAGTATAGTTTTAGATCTGATATGGTTAGGACACCTTCATTTGCATTTTTTCCCATTGATTCCCTTGATATTCTTGACATTTTGTTATTATTTTTTCTAGCTCTCTCAAATAATCTTTGGTAGTTTAATTGGTGCTGGATAAGTCAATTAATTTAGGTAGAATTGTCATTTTTTTATGTTAGCTCAACCTACCCATGAACAACTGATATTTTTCCAATTGTTTAGACTTGACTTTATTTGTGTGAAAAGTGTTTTATAATTGTGTTCGTATGGTTCCTGGGTTTGTCTTGGCAAGTAGACTCCCAAATATTTTACATTGTCTACAGTTATTTTAAATGGAATTTCTCTTTCTATCTCTTCTTGCTGAGCTTTGTTGGTAATACATAGAAATGCTAATGATTTTATATTTTTATTTTATATACTGTAACTTTACTAAAGTTAATTATTTCAAGTAGTCTTTTTATTTAATTCTCTAGGATTATCATATCATCTGCAAAGAGTGATAGTTTTGTTTCCTCATTGCCTAACCTAATTCCTTCAATTTCTTTTTCTTCTCTTATTGCTCAAGCAAACACATATTGAATAATAGTGGTGATAATGGGCATCCTTGTTTCACCCCCAATCTCACTGGAAAGGCTTCTAGCTTATCCCCATTACAGATAGTGCTTGCTGATGGTTTTAGATAGATACTACTTATCATTTTAAGGAAAGCTCCATTTATTCTTATACTCTAGTGTTTTTTAATAGGAATAGGTGCTGTATTTTGTCAAAAGTTCTTTCCACATTTATTGAGATAATCCTATGATTTCTCTTGGTTTTGTTATTGATATGGTCAATTATGCTAATAGTTTCCTAATGTTGAACTGGCCCTGCATTCCTGGTGTAAATCCCACCTGGATATAGTGTGTTATCCTCATGACAAATTGCTGTAATCTCTTTGCTAATGTTTTATTTTAAACTTTTGTATCAATATTCTTTAGGGAACTTGGTCAATAATTTTCTTTTTCTGCTTTGGCTCTTCTTGGTTTTGTTATCAGCACCTATTTGTGTCATAAAAGGACTTTAGTAGAACTCTTTCTTCACCTATTTTTTTCCCAAATAGTTTATATAGCATTGGAATTAATTGTTTTTTAAATGCCCCCTCCCATTTCTTTCCCCTTTCCCCTCCAACTTCTTTATAGGGTAAGATAGATTTCTCTACCCAACTGAAGGCGTATGTTTTTCCCTCTTTGAGCCGAATCTGATGAGAGTAAAGTTCAAACAATGCTTGCTCCCTTCCCTTCTTTCCTTCTGCTGTAATATATCTTTCATGCCTCTTCATGTGATATAATTTACACCATTCTGCTGCCCTCTTTCCCCTTCTCCCAGTACAAGCTAAGGATACATCCCTAAATGGAAAGATGATACTTATAACTCTTAAGAACTGTATCTCTATTAGGGTAGTTAGAAGGAAATATACTTAGACAGAGGGTGTGGATACAAATTGACTTTGATGTGATGATGAAAAAAAATTAAGAGGTGAAAAAAAGGATTGTACTGGGAGAAGAGGCTGGTGCTCTATCCACTGCGCCACCTAGCTGCCCCCCAATTCTACTTTTGAAGTAGTTGGTTTTTTTAGTGTATTTTTTCCCATTTGGCCAATTCTATTTTTTTAAGCAGTTATTTTCTTCAGTCAGTTTTTGTGCTTTCTTTTCCAAGCTGTTGACTCTTTTAAAAAATATAATTCTCTTGCATAACTCTCACTCCCCCCCCAATTTTTTTCTACTTCTCTTACTTGATTTTTAAAATCCTTTTTGACCTATTCCAAGAAGACTTTTTGAGCTTCAGACCAATTCCCATGCCCCTTTGAGGCTCCACATGTAGGCATTTTGATATTTGTTGTCCTCTTCTGAGTTTTTTGTTTTGATCTTCCCTGTTGCCATAGTACCTTTCTATGGTCAGGGCTCTTTTTTTATTTTTTTGCTTATTTTTAAAAGTTGAGCTCTGTTCTTGGGGCACAGGGGCACTGTCCCAAGCTTCTTGCACTGGGGGCCAGGAGCCTGGTCACTGGCTTTCTCCACTGGGGCCTCTGGGACTGATGGCTTGCCCACTGCACTAGGGTGGCCCAGCCTAGTCAAGACTATTGTGCCCTGGGCTCTTGGGCTGGCTTGCTGAGCCAGAAACATGGGGACTTGGTTGCTGATCTGTGCTGTGGCTAAGAGCCTCCTGCTGACTTGCCCAGATACTGCCTGCGCTAGGCTGTACCCCCCTTCTACCCAAATGAGACAGACCTTTCCGAAGTCCTTCTAAGTTATCTTGGCTTGGAAAATTGTTTCACTTGATCTTTTTTGTGGATTGTGTCACTCCAGAATTCTTTTAGTGGCTTGATTTAACATTGTTGCCAAGGAAAACTGGGGAGAACTCAGGCAACTTCCTGGTTTCTCAATTCCATCTTGACTCCCTACTTCAGTATCTTTGCTAAGAAAACCCCAAATAGGGTCATGAAGAGTCGGGCATGACTGAAAACGACTGAACAACAGCAACAGCAATCCAATCATTTAAGTCTTTGTCAGGAAATCAAAGGAGTTGCAATAGAAGGGAGCAGAGATGCTATTTAGTCCAGACCATACCCAGATAAGAATCTCCTCCAACACATACCTGAGAAATATTCACTCAGTCCTTGCTTGAATGGGCTCCTAAGGCAGTCCATCCCACTTCTGGGTAGTTCTATAGTTAGGAAATTTTCCTTTGAATCAAACCTAAATTTGCTTCTTTGTGACTCCCAGCCGTTATTTCTCGTTCTGCCTCTGAACCTGAGGAGAACAAGCCAAATTCCTCTTCCACATGATCGTCTTTCAAATTCTGTTGAATATAGCTATGATGTTACTTCTAAGTTTTCTCTTCTCCAAATTAAATATCACCAGTTCTTTCAACCAGTCCTCATGTAGCAAAATCTCAAGGACCTTCCCCCACCATTCCTGGTTGTCCATCTCTGAACTTTCTTTAACTTATCAATGTTCTTCTTGAAATGAGACACCCAGAAAAGTACACAATATCCAAGTGTAGTGTGACCATAGCAAATTATGCTGGAACTGTCACCTCTGTAATTCTAGATACTAGGACTCCACTAATTGAACCTAATTAACTTTTTTTAGTTGTCATATAATACAATCAGGAGAGGCAGTCTGGTATAACAGAGAAACAACTAGACTCAAAAGCTAGGAAGATTTGGAATGAAACCTTATTTCTGACACATCCTAGCAATGTGTTCTAAGCAAATCTCTTGACCTCTCAGTGTTCTAGCAATCTTTTATGACAATAAGTTGCCAGAGAAGGTACCAATGCCAGCTTGCTCTGGTAGAGGGAGCTTCTTCTCCCCGAATTCCTAATATAAGTAAATCACAAGTCCACTCCTTGTCACTATGCCTATCACATTGTTAGTACACTAAATATCCCAAGGTCATTTTTAGACCTCTGTCCTCTACTTTGGTAGTTGAATATTTGAGCCCAAGTATAAGACTTTTTTATATTTATCCCTTTTGTTCTTCACCTTGTTAGAACTGACCCAATGTTCTAGCCTGTCAACATTTTTTTGGTTCCTGATTTTGTCATTCAATATATTAGCTGCCCCTCCTGGCACTGTTATCTGCAAATTTGACAAACATGACATTTATGTCTATCTAAGTCATTGAAAGTAATGTAGAACAGCATAGGCCAACCACAGATCCCTGAGGCACTCTACTAGAAATTCCCTTCCACAATGACATTGGCCCATTAATGACTACTCTTTGAGCGTGACCATTCAACCAGTTCAGAATTTGCCTAACTGTTCTATCATCTAGCCCTCAGCTTTCTATTTTATCAAATGCCTTCCTAAAACTAAGTAAACTCACAACATGACTAATATGGAAATGTTTTGCATGATTGCACATGTATAACCTATCTCAAATTGCTTACTGTCTCAGGGAGGAAGGAAGAAAGGGTGGGAGGGAGAGAATTTGGAACTCAAATTTTTAAAAAACAAATATTAAAAATTGGTTTTACATGTAATTAGGAAAAATCAAGTCTAAGTATACTAAGTAAACTATTTCTATAGCTATAGTGAAAATGATTTCCCTTTATCTATCTGCCTAGTAAACCTGTCAAAAAAGAAAATTGGGTTTCTCTGGTGTGACCTGTTCTTGATGAAGCCATGCTGTCTCTCTATGATTAACACTCCTTTTTCCCTTGCTGTCCACCAATTATTCTTCTGCTAATATACTCTAGAATTTTTTCAAGTATCTAAGTCAAGGTCGCTAGCCTATAATTTCCTTGCTCCATTCTTCTCCCTCTTTTGAAAGATGGAACAATATTTGTCCTTCTCCAAGACATATAGAACCAGTGCTACTCTAGCCATACCAGGCCGGGAGTCTCAGACATGACCCTGAGAGGTCACCTTTTCTGACATCCTGCCTGATGAATTAATCCTTCCTATAACATCCTAACAAGTAATCAGTCATCTTACCAAACAAAAACAAAACAAAACAAAACAAAACAAAACAAAAAAACAGCTTCTCCCTGACCTCTGCTTCTCCAACTCACTACTGGCTTTCATAAGCCGCTCTGAAACCCACCAATAGCTACAGCACATGCAAAAGAAACCAGAACAAAAGATAGAAGATGGACAGATGGAGAAGGGGAAGGAGGGAATGGTAAAAGATAATATATTTTGGCAAACAGATTTATCTTCCTAATTGTACTGAACTCAAACTATTCTGTTTTTCCTACACTGACTGATTGCAGGGCCTGGGGAATATGCCAAGATTTAGGGGAAACCAGACTGAAATTTAACCACTAAGTAGGTAATCCACTTGCAGATCAAATCATAGAATACCATACCTAAAAAAACCTTACCGATCATCTAGTATAATCCATACTGGGAAACTGAGTCACACATATGAGTCCTGAATCTCAATCCAACTGACCAATTCCCCACAGTCTCAAAGATTAACCAGTCTGGCATTAATGGCACCTTTGGACTTAGCCGTGCCTCAGAATTCAACTCCTGGTTTATATTTCTTCCTCATGCTTCCCCTCCAACCACTCTTGTTTTTTAAGGAGGATACAGCTGTTGATTTATGATTCTATCTTTGTAAGGCCTCAGAACACCTGACATGAACCCCTCTGACACTGAGGCTAGTACTTAGTCTATGATTTCTATGATATATACATACATACATACACACATGCATACATACACGCATGCATACATACACACATGCATACACACACGCATGCATACATACATGCATACATGCATACATACATACATGCATACAAACATACATGCATACATACATGCATACATACACATGCGTGCAAACATACATGCACGCATACATACATACATACATGCATGCATACATACATACATATATAAAATTCCTTCACTAATGTGTATCACAATCCCTCTAGACCTTCTTTTGTGCAATTCTTGCCCATATTTCCCTATAAATCCTAACAGATGATCTACCTAAACCTCAAGAGGCCCTTTTCTTTTCTTTTAGAGTCTTATGGATATGAATGTACCCTCTGAGCCATGCATTGTTGTCTTTTGTTATGACTCTATAACTGGTATACTTTCTTCCCAGTCATACTCAATCATATCCTTGATGCCTCTTCCTGTGCCTAAGTTGTCCCTGGTGATATGCTATAGTTGGCTAGTACTCATGTATATCTTTCCATTTTCCTTATGCTTATTTTCAATCTTAATTCTTTTGAGATTGGGGTGTTTTGTGGTATGCCATTGAATGACATTATTGGAAGAATGCTGGTGCTAAAGGGGTTGTCTTTTTCTGCAGCAAACAATTTGGGAACATTTAAAACACTGTTTAAGTTCTTATACTCAGTTCAGAGCCTAGATCCACTGTTCATCTCTGTAGTGGCTCTTCAAAATACACACATCGACGGGCTAATTTGAAAGCAGCATGTTTGTAGCTTGGACAAGATTCTTTTTTTGGGTCCTCTTTGTGTTTTCATCATGGAAGACTATATTGATCTCTTTCTCATTGTTGTAAATGTAAATGTCAGTTAAAGAAGGCTTCGTAGTTTTTCAAGGCTGTATATACTTTTTATATCATCATCAGTAGAGAATCCTTAAAAATATAGCATTTTTGTTCTACCAAAGCAACCGCTTTCTTAAAGTCATAAAACATAGCAGGAGATCTATTTTTTTATTTGGTCTAGTACTGTGATTTTATTGATATAGGTAAATCTCAATGAGGAAACTCAATGAGGTAGTGCAAATCTACAACTCTTTTGCAACTCCACAGCCTTCTGAGTGTTGCCTGAGAGCACTGAGAAGTTAGGTGTCTTGCCTGGGATCATACAGCCAGTATGTGTCAGAAGCATGATTTGAACCTGGGTCTTCCTGCCTCTCAGGCTGGCTTTACCTATCACACCATGCCATCTCTCAGTGGGATCTTTCTATTTCTACATTCTTTCTATGTCTCGCAAAAAGTGACTATAAAGATGTAGTCTGTTGTAGAAAACTACCAGCAAAAGACTGTTTCTATTTCTTATGCTCTCATTGAAAGCATACTTGATACATTCCTAGACAATTTCCATTTCTCATTTTATGGAGAGGTTTAAGAGCAGGCATGTGGAGTGATAGTTGCTAATATCTTCCCAGATCCCATTTTTTGGATAAAGCATGATCAACTTTTATATTCAAGTCAAACTAACAAGCATTTATTAAGTGCTTGCTGTATGTCAAGTAACTGGAAGTAACCAAGTATCAAAATAAGTATTGACATCTTAGGAGGATCTTGACAAGCTCTTCATAAAACTCTATTTCTTCATCTTCACCAATGGACATTAGCTTATAATTCTAGCTATGGTGGTGATGATGATGATGATGATAATGATGATGATGATGATGACAATGATGATGGTCTATTAGCTTATGCTTACTGTGAATACTTAGAGCCACAATGACCCATTAACTTTTTTTTTCAAATTCAGCTATTTGAATAATAGTAAATAATATTACAGAATTAGCTTCCATTTCCAGTGAAATATATTCCTTTCATATTATACTTCACTTTTAAAAGATCTTATTTTTATTGATGTCATTTGTTTTTTAATATCACCTTCATTTCCAATTATATCCCTTGCCCATTCCCTATACAACCGGCCATCCCTTATAAAAAGGTTTTTAAAAAGAAAGAGATGAAAAGCAATTCAGGAAAATTAATCAACACATCAGTTATGTCTGGCAGAATATGTCATATTCCACACCCATAGTCCCATACTTCCACAAAGAGAGAGGAAAGTTTCTGAACTCTTTTTCCAGGCCGAACTTGGTCATTATAATTACACAGTATTCAGGGGTTTTTGTTGTCATTGTTATCGTTGTTCAATTTCCTCTTACATTGTTGTACTTACTGTGCATGTTGTTTTACTGCCTCTGCTTATTTCTCTTGGTATCAGTTCATGTAAGTCTTTTCATGCATCTGTGAATCCTTCATAGTTGTTACTTCATATGGCACAGTAAAATTGTGTTATGTTCACGTACCACAGTTTTAGTTAGTTGTTGCCCAATTGATGATCGTGTTTTTTTCCCCAGTTCTTTGCTACCCCAGAAAGAGGGCTGCTATAAGTAGTCTGGTGTATACAAGATCTTTCTTTCTGTCTTTACCTACCTTGGAATATATGTCTGTGTCAAAGGACCTGAACATTTTATTTACTCTTTTAACACAAGTCCAAATTACTTTTCAGAAATGTTGGCTCAATTCACAGCTCTGCAATAGCATATATGTGTGCTTGTCTTTCCACAGCCCCTCCAATATTGACTATTTTCATCTTTTGTCATCTTTGCCAACTTGCTGCATATGAAACAAAACCCAGAGTTGTTTTGATGCATCTGTCTTACTTAGTAATGATTCAGAGTGTATGGTTGTTAATAGTTCGCAATTCTTTTGAGAAATACTGGTTCATATCCTTTGATCTCTTATCCAGTCCAATAGCTCTTGGACTGATAATTCTTCTTTTTTTTTTTTGCTTCTGTGTGCACAATGAAACAAAGTCTAATAGCTCCTTTATTAACCTCTCCAAAGACAATTACCCTTCTATGTATCTGGAACTTCAACCAAGAGTAGATCACTTCATTGGTCTTTGGACAAAAATCTGATACTGAGAAAACCAACACTTAAATCAATAAATGTGGATGATTTAAGAACTGTGTGATTTTTAGCACCCTCTACCCTAATTTTTCCAGTATTATCACTGTAGAAGCAAAAGGGGGCTACATGTAGGTCATTTTGTGGTTTTATCTGTTTCATGGGTTGTTGTGGTAAGTAATAATAATGACGATAATGATAATTACCTGGTGGCCAAACTTCTAATGATGAACCTTTTTCACACTGGGAGGTGCTGGCAGGCACTTAGAACCTGGGATTAGTCTTCTCAAACTGTAAACTTGGAAATGGAAGTTCATTGAAGGCATTCCAGGATTCTTCTGTTGGCAGGGAAAAAAAAGTGGTCTTTGTGTGGGCAATTCAATTCAGTTTAACAAATATTATCTAGAACCTCAGAGAGTGAACAGTTCAGCTCCCTTTTGCCTCACTCTGAAAAATGTGGCAATCTTAGCCCTTTCTTTGAAGGAATATGGTACTTTCCTCATCTCTATTATATGGAAAATACACTAGATTTGGAATCAGAAGGGATTTGAATCCCAGCTTCAATGCTTACTTTGTAATTAAGGGCCAATCACAACTTCTCTGATATCCAGTTTTCTCAAATGCAAAATGAAGATAATGATAATTTGACCATTGACTTCCTCCTAAAGTCCAACATAAATAGCAATATGTAAATAAATAGTAATAGGTTATCAAAGTACTTTATGTGGCTTAATCTAAAACTCATTGCCTCCTTTGGATTTGTTGCTCCCTATCACTCTTCAGCTGTTACTATCTCTAGTTCAGGCTCAGCCTCCCTGGGGTTGAGTAGGTCATCCAGGTGGCCTTCAGGGACAGGCTATCCTCACTGTATTTGTACTTCTTCATGTTGAAAATCAAAGCAAAGTGTTTCAAGGAAGCCAAGGACATGTTCCCATAAATGTCTCATTACAGGCCTCAGAGAGGATGCTTGTTGGTACACCTGACTTATCAAGTACAGGTGATCATAGTTGTAAAAAAGACCAACTTCCAACTGTCAAGAAGCCCAGCAGCCCAGCAGGTAAATTCTTATCTGGAAGGCCATAAAGCCATAAATCCTCACCCTCTAAAAAACATCACAAAGCTGTGTCTTTTGGTGGGGAGGGGATCTGAGCTATGATGGGAGATAGAATTAGAAATCCCTCAGAGCATCAGGGCTGTCCTCAGAAAGGGCAATAAGACATCTAAAACCCAATGAAACCAGGAAATGTCTTGTAAAACATAATACAGGTATCTCATAGCGTGGGCTACTCTGGGCCAGGGTGCATATAAGACGATTCTGCCTTTGTGGATTCCAGCTCTGGATTTTTGGCCTGGGATATACAAGTCATTCTTGGAGTCTTCATGGAGAATCCCTAGGGCTCAGTTCTTACCTGTGCTCCTTGTGTCAATGATCACATGTACCCCAAAATGTAGAAAAGAAGGAACAGAAAGCCTATTCCCATGGACCCACTGAGTTTCAGAGAATTCCAAGGCAGAATAGGATTTCCTACCCTACCTGAGGAAAGTGGGGGAGCAAGATTCCAAGCCTCACTGTTGTAATGGTAATTCTTTTTATTACCAGAGGGAAGGCTGAGAGAATGGAGCAGTGTAGTGTGCTCACACTGAGACTGGGAATCTTCTTTGGGACAGATTCTTATGAAAGAATTATTGTATGGATGGAAGGCCAGGCCCCAGAAAGGGTCATAGTCAAATGCTGGAGGGACTGTAAGAAAACAGGTACAGTAATGCATTGTTGATGGAGCTTGAACTGGTCCAATTATTCCGGAAAGTAATTTGGAACTATGCCCCAAAAGCTTTTAAACTGTGCATCCCTTTGACCTAGCAATTCCACTACCAGGTCTATACCCCAAAGGCATCAAAGAAAGAGGAAAAAGGCCTATTTATACAAAAATAATTATAGCAGTTCTTTTTGTGGTGGCAAAGAATTGGAAACTGAGGGGTGCCCATTAAATTGGGAATGGTTGAACAAGTGACCGTATATAAATGTGATGGAATACTACTGTGCTATAAGAAATGATGAAGGGGATAGTTTCAGAAAAATGTGGAAGACTTGTATAAGTTGATCCAAAGTGAAGTGAGCAGAACCAGGAGAACAATTTATACAACAACAACAATATTGTAAAAATAAAACCACTTTGACTTTGAAACTCTAATCAACACAATGACCTAACACAATTCCAAAGGACTTAAGATAAAACATGTTATTCACCTCCAGGCAGAGAGCTGATAGACTCAAGAGTGAAGACTGAAGCATGTTTTCCTTCTTCCCTTCTTTCTTCTTTTCTTAACATGCCTAATGCAGGAATTTGTTTTGCTTGATTATACATATTTGTAATGGGTTTTGTTTTTCTTGCCTTCTCCATGAGTGGAAGAAGAGGTAGGAGGGAGAAAATTTAGAACTTAAAATTCTTTAAGAATTGAATTTTTTCTTGTAAAAAAGAATAAAGTAGGCCAGGAACCACTGCCTTTCAGCGTCCTGGGTGCGTACTGTGTTTTCTACCTCAGGGAAAGCGCATCCTGATTAGCTCCTGTGGCTAGGGTTTTTTCTGTTGTGGTTTGTTTTGCTTTGCTTTTTAGTATGCCCTTGAGATAGTATGGTCTGTCCAGGCCCCAGTATAAACAGGCAGGGTTTTTGTGTGGCTGCCAAGCCAGGCACTGTGGCAGAGGATTAGTTTGCGAGGGGCAGGAGGATGGGGGACCTGCCACTCATCACCTAAGATTAAAATGCTTGGGAGCCAACTACCCTTAGTACTCAGGCCTAGAAAGTTGGTCAAGTGTTTTCACAAGGCTGGAAAAACTAGGAAAAGGAACATTTGCCAGTGACAATAAATAGGAACATTAATGTATCTTAGTAGATAAGGAAGAAACTTGGGACTTGGGAGTTGCAAACACTACACTATGCTCAGTAGTGGAACTTGGACAAGCCACAAACTTCCATTTACTCAAATGATGTCATGTAATCATAGAATGTCAGAGTTGAGGAAGGACCTTGGAGATACTCTAGTCCATTAATACCTTATTTTTTACTTCCCTTTAATATACTACTAAGCCCTTCATAAGCAGGATGTTGGGCCACAAAGAAGACAGCATTTATGTACCTTGATGACACCTAGAGGAGACAACACCCATACAAACAAGAAGGGATCTACTTTCCTCATAATGTAAGGATAAAATAATATTTCAAACATTTCAGGTAAAGTTAAAAGTGCTATATAGATAGAGGGGGTTATAATGATTAACTATTGATGGTGGGGTACAGACAGAAAGTCTAACGTTGGACAACTAGAACAGTGTGAGTTGGGTAGTCAGAGAAGGCTTCATAGAGAAGGTAGTAGCTGATATGGACCCTGAAGGGTGGTAGTCATGGTGTCAAACAATGTTAGATGTGAAAGAAATATTAAAGATCTAATCTAACAAACCCTTTCATTTTACAGATGAGGAAACAGGGGCCAGAAAAATGACTTTTCCAAGGATTTTCCCCTTCTTGATAACACCTCACTTCCAGTGAGGGTAAAGAATGGAGACTGAAGGAAAGGGAAAATACTGGACCACTAAACAAATAATGAAGTTGAAAATAATCTGGTGTAATTAATATTGGAGTCAGAAGAATTGGGTTCAAGTCCACATTCATAGGATTATAGCTCTAGAGCTGGAAGTGATTCTAGTCCAACTCTTCTCATTTCAAACATGAGAAAACTGAGGTCCAGAAGGTTGAGTTATCCAAAGTCACAGACGTGGAATTTGAACTCAGGCCCTCTGACTCCAGAGCCAAGGTTCTTTCCCTTGTACCATTTTGACACTTACTCTTTAGGCCTCTATAAATCACTTAACTTTTTGAACCTCACTTTCCTCATCTGTATAAAATGGAGATATCTCATACAACTGTTGAGAGGAAAGCATTTTGCAAAGTGTAAAGTGCTAAATCAATGTAAACCACTATTATTAGTAACACTCTACTAACTTGCTGATCACTAATAGACGTAAAGATGACAGTCAAATGTCATTAATTGAAGCCCTCTGAATCAAATCATTAGTACGGTGGCTTAGTGCAAGTTTTCCTTTGCTCTTTCTATGAATGTTTTGTTCAGTAAATTAATAGTATTAACAAGATTCGATTCAATTCAGCTAGTAATTGTGAATTGCTTCCACTGTGATGGACGCTGATGGTACAATGACATAAATAGTACCTGCCCTCAAGAAGCCTATATTCTACTGAGACTGCAGTGGAAGGACCTGGAAAGAGAACAGACAACTTGAGAACTAACTCTTTTCAAATACCTTCAGATCCTTTAGAAGTACTTACTGGCATATAATGAAGAAATTAATTATATAGGAAGACCAAAAAGATATCAGGCAGCAGTTTGTTGCTGGGATGGGATATAGGTCACCATCTTTTCCCACTAGCCTAGCCCCTGTGATTTGCATAGAACAGAGAATATGATGGGAAAAGGTTGAAGTCAGTTCCCTTACCACAGTTTTGCTTTTCTCTTTTTCTGTTTAAATAGAACCCTGGGAATATTTACTTAAGCAAGGAAGGGGCGGGGGGAGCGAGGGGAGACGGCATCAATAGGACTAACAACTAAAATGGGTTTCTGGCCATATGTTAGATGAGGCCTGAACTGAGGGAGTTTAAAAAGATGCTAGCAGAGAACCAAGATTCCAGGAGTAGACATGAACGTAACATGGGCATTTCCTACCTGCTGTAAATAGTCTGCCTTGGGGAAATGGTTCATAGCTCTTAGCTAAAAGAGATGTAACTATCCTTTGGCTCGCTGCCATTTGCTTGTATTTTTCCTAGGTCTACTCGGAGACCAAGCAAAACAAATGTAATCCTTCTACATGACAGCCCTTCAAATACTATCATGTCCTTCTCACTCCTGACAGTTATGGCACTGTCTCAAGTCCCTTCTGGGCACATTCTAATTTGTCAATGTCCTTTCTAAAATGTGGTCATCAAACTGTGCATAGTGTCTTAGATGTGACTTGACTAGGGCAGAATACAGTAGGACCACGACCTTCCTTTTCCTGGACACTAGATTTCTAATTTAATGTTGCCTAAATTCAACTTAAATTTTCTAGCTGCTAGGTTTTCCTGCTGTTTCATACTAAGCTTGAAGTCTACCGCTAAATCTCCAAGCCTTTTTCAAGTGGACTGTCGTCTAGTCTTGTTTCCTCAAACCTATATTCCCAAAGTTGTTTTTTTCAAACTGAATTGTAAGACTTCACATTTTCATTTCACTTAGGTGACATGAATTCCTCTCCCCATACCCTGAGATCTGCACGTTTCCCAGCTACTACCCAGCTTAGTATTGGTGGTGTTGTTCAGTCATTTCATTGTCTGACTCTTGGTGACCCCATTTGGGGTTTTCTTGGCAAAGATAATGGAGTGGTTTGCCATTTCCTTCTTCAGCTCATTTTACAGATGAAGAACTGAGGCAAACAGGGTTAAGGGTCGGTCACACAACTAGTAAGTGTCTGATGCTGGATTTGAACTCAGGAAGATGAGTGTTCCCAGTTGCCATTCCTGGTTTGGTGTCAAGAGGGTCATAATGGCAGCTCTATGAGAAGAGGCACAAAGCTGCCTCCTCTGAAGTAAAGAAAGAAGAGGGTGAGGGGTGGGGTAGGAGAAAGAGAGATGGAGGAAGATCAAAGCCTGAGTAATAGGTCTGGAGGCCTGACTTCCTGAGAACTCTTCTTTTCAGTTTAAATGTTCATTGTGACTCAAATCCTTGAGCAAAGAATACTGTGCCATGAACAACAACAACAACAACAACACCAAAAAAACCATTTGAGAACCACTGTTCTAGCTGATCAAAACCTTATTTGATCCCATTCCAGACAAACAACCCATCAGCTGCTCCCCCCAGCTTTATGGAATCTGCAATTTAACAAGCATGATTGATATATGGCTTCATCCAAGTCACTTATTTAAAATGTTGAATAGTGCAGGACCAAGGACAGAGTTCTATGGCACTCCACTAGAGACTTTCATATAATTTCACACTAATTCCCAGTTAGTTGTTTAGCTCTAAATCCACTTCACCATACTGTCATCCAGCCTACATCTCTCCATCTTGCCCAGAATGATTTTATAAAAAAAAATTTGTCGGGGCAGCTAGGTGGTACAGTGGATAGAGCTCCAGCCTTGGAGTCAGGAGGACCTGAGTTCAAATTCAGCCTCAGACACATAACACTTACTAGCTGTGTGACTCTGGGCAAGTCACTTAACCCCAATTACCTCACCAAAAAAAAAATTGTCAAATATATTACCTATATTATTTCTCTGATTAATGTGGTTTCACAGTTTATGTTTCACATTGACAGGTAAGAGAAAGAAGGTATTAAAAGAAAAAAGAAGAAGCTTCCAAGGATTATCATGGCCTTGATGAGTCAACAGATCCTGATAACAGACAGGTACCCTGAGTATACTATATAGGAATGGCAGGATAACAAGGGGAAAGGGGAAAGGTGTGGACCTGTAATTTCATCAGTTGTGGGAAACACCAATGTAGAAACTCCCTCTACCAGCACAAATCAGCCATTAACTTCTAATTTAGAGTCTTAATCAACTGAGGCACTGAGAGATTGAGCTCAGGATCACCCAACTTATATGTGACAAAGAAGGAATTTGAACCCAGGTCTTCCTGATTCCAAGGCCTGCCCTCAGTCCACTATAGCAGGCTGTTTCCCCAAAGGTATTACCCCAATTATTGCACATTGGCCAAAACCATACTGAATAATACGCCCTTCTACACCTTGCACCCCACCAAAAAAAAAAAAAGCTAGTAGAATATGGAAACATTGGAAGGGTGAGCAACGGCAATATGGGCCTAAACATGTGTTTAATGAGGAAAGAAGAGGTGAGAAGATGACTATGGAAGAATTTTCCTCTTTCTCTTCTAATCCTCATTTAGATGAAACACTTCCCCAGATACTGGTTAACTTTTGCATACCATTATTTGCAATATTCAGAAACTTCATAGATATTGAATAATGACCATAGCAAAATAATCACTGTATCCCCAGGTCTGAAGGGCTGTGACATGGCCATCAGCTGACCCTCATCTCCCCTGAACAAAGGGCAAGAAGAAATTGGCTTGATTCTCAGTAAGGGTCTACTGTACAACAGAAAGGCAGAGATTGAGTAGTATCACAGGGCAGGCAGATAATGGAGAATGACAAACAGAGATGTTGAGAGATGGAGGAGGGGAAAGGTAGACAGAGACAAACCCAGATAAGAAAAATAAAGGAGGAACTAGAGAAAGAGCAAAGGACAGTTGGAAGGGTCCTGAGTAACTAAGCATAGAGGAGAACAAACTTAGGAAGACATGATGACTGTCTTCAAGTATTTGAAGGGATCAGACTTCTTCCTTGTGGCTTCATGGGGGGAACTAGGACCAAGAGATTGGGGGTGGGGAGAGGGAAAGCGAGGGAGGCAAATTTCACCTCAATAAAAGGAAGATGTTCTTAACAAATAGTTTTCCAAAATGAAGTGGATCAATCCAGCTAAACTTCAATCAACTCTCCCTCTGTCTCCTAAACCTGTTTCTGTTCTTCAACCTTCAAAAGAAGGCCCCATTCTTAGGGTGGAAGGCCACCCTTCATTCCTCTTGCTCTTGCCTATTTCCTCTTGTCCTCAGGCTCAGAGGTCACTGAAATTTTCGTCACCATTAAAGGCTGATGCCCCCACACCAGCTTTCTCTTCTCAGCTGGTCAGTCCCATTGAGATTTACCTTGGTTAGAAAGGAATGGGGGAGGTGTCCTACTTAGAGGCAGAGGGCCCCAAGAGGCCCGAGGCCTGAGGCAGGAATTCCTTCCCCAGGCAGCCACCTAAAGAGCTGAGCTGCCAGAGCCCAGAGCCAAGAAAGTGAGAGGCTGGCCCCTGCTGCTCTGAAACAGGCCATTGTCAACTGCTGGCAGAGAAAGACTGAATAACCACAGCCGGAGAAACTACAGTAGGCTCAGTCTGTCCTTGGTCCCCTGTGAGGGAACCTAGATGGAGCCAGGAGGAGAGTTAAGCTTCTCTAAACCCACACAGTCCTCTCCTGTATGGATAGTGGCAGTCAATGGGGACTTATCCAAGCCTGGCTGCCTCAAAGACAGAAAAGTCACCTTCTTAAAAATCAGGAGTCATCTTCCTGGAAGCCATATAAGTTGGATAGGTCTCTCTAACCAGTAGAATTGTTTTTTTTTTTAAATGAGTTATTGGAATTATGTTAGCATCCCTTCATATGCAAGGGCTCCTGCAAGGACTGGGGACTCTTCTTAACTCTGGCTTTTGGAACTTCCTTTTGGCTATCACCCCTCCCCCTCCACCCCAGGAATGAACCATAGCATTGAAAGAGACCTTAGAGAAAATCTAGTCCAATGCTCACCTTCTGTTCCACCCCTCACCAAGGCATGAATCCCTGCCATAATAGTCCAACAAATGATCACACAGGTCTCTGTCTGAGCACCTCCAGTAATGAGGAACTCATCCTCTCACAAAGTGATCCACCTTACATTGTTAAAAACAAAACAAAAAACCGCCCTTCTGTTTACTGAGCTAAAATCCCCCTCCTGTAAATTCCAGCTATTGGTCCTAGTTTTCCCCCGTGGAGGCACACTAAGTCTGATTCCCTCTGACCACACTTCAAAAATTTGAAGGCAGTTAACATGTCCCCTTAAGTCTTTCTGTAGCTCTATGCTAAGATCATCTATAATTCCTTCAACTGATTCTCAAAGGACATGGTTTCATTCTGTTCTGAATTAGTTCTAGATCAGAGGTCCTTAACCTTTAGCATGTCCTGAACCCCTTTGGCAGTCTAGTATGGAGCTTTTACCAGAGCAAGGTTTTTAAGCAATTGAAAGAAAAGCTAGATTTCAGTTAGAGATGAGCGAAAATGAAGATGCCATTTTTTTCCTATTTAAGTTTATAGATCCTCTGAAATTTACTTGTTGACTTCAGATTCTAGATGATCAGTTTCTCCCAATAGGTGGCCCCAGCACTGGACAGTGTAGGGTCATTTTACAGTCTCTCTTACAGCAGGGATCCCGAGCCAACAAGTCCCTTCTCCCAATGTGAAGAAGTCCATTTTATGGGATAGTGAAGCAGACTTCTTTCTCAAAGGATCTGAACTTGACCGTCTTGTCACGTGGGTTCAGTCAATGTTTACCCCAAGCTCAGTTTCCTCAACCAAATAATAAGCTCCCCAAGGGTAAGACCATGTCCCCTCCTATCTCACCCTGACATAGGCAAGTCCCAACCAGGCACTCCAGCGGATTTAAAATACTGCCTGACTAAAGGAATGTTGGGGCAGTAGAGTTGGTGCACAGAGTGCTGCGCCTGGAGTCAGGAAGACTCTCCTTCTTAAGTTCAAATCTGGCCTCAGACGCTTAGTAGCTATGTGACCCTGGGCGAATCACTTAACCCTCTTTGCCTCAGTTTCTTCATCTATAAAATGAGCTGGAGAAGGAAATGGCAAACCACTTCAGTATCTTTGCCAAGAAAACCCCAAATAGGGTCACCAAGCATTAGACACAACTGAAAATGACTGAAAAAAAGAAAAGTTGCTGGGCTGGATGTGAGATGAGGATGGTATTGAAAGGAAGACTTTCAGGTTTATGGTCACCAGTGGTCTTTTCCCTGAATGTAAACCCAACCAGGTTTTAATCTAAATTCAGGATGGAAGAGGAAGGGAAAAAACCCTTGCCAGATCAAATCATTCCCCATCAGGCCTGTTTCAACTTTCCATTCATTGGCTGTAGCAACATTTGTTTATTTAACAAATACTAGAAAGAGCACTTGACTAGGAGTCGGGACACCTCACTAGGTTATACTTGGCTCTGCGTTTACAAAACTATGTGACATTGCGCAAGTCACTTCTCTCCCCTCTGAGCTTCAGTTTCCTCATCTGTAAAATGGGGATGATCTAATACTATTTATCTCCCATATGGTAAGTATCAAAATGAGAGTGTAAATCGTTTTTGTAAACTATAAAGCACCATATGAACAGCAGGTCATGGTGGTGGTGGAAGTAGCACCCTTGGTGGTAAAGCGAAGTGAAATGAGATGATCCCTAGGTGACCTTCTGATGCTCTAATTCTAGGAGATGACCTTGCTGGACTCGGCAAGGGATCAGTCAACGCAAGAGTCTATGCTGCCTGCTGTGGGTAAGCAGGACAGAAATGTGACTGGGGCCACCCCACCCCTTTTACCTTCTGTGCTTCCCCCACCCTCCACTACATCAAGTTGCCCTTTTCTGGTACCCGATGTCACCTGGTTTGGGGGAGGGTGGGGTGGGGAAGTCTCCTCCCTTCTCTCCACTGTGGTATTCTCCCGGGACTGTTTCCTTGAATGAGGGCCCCAGTGGTTTTCTACAGATCTTGAGACATCTCTCTGACTGCTCTGCCCCACTGGCACAGCAGCATTCCCTCCATCTCCTCTCTCTATCCCTGCTTGCTAGCTGCTCAAGAAGCTAAAAGACTGAATTTCAGGAAGTGATCTCGAAACACAACAAGACAAAAATACAGTACATCTCATCTGAAACAGAATACCCATTTAATTAAGGGGAGGCTGGCACTGAATTCTGGTTGAGTTGTGATGCAAATGTGAATAGGAAATTGTATCAAACTCAAGCAGTCCTGGGAGTGAGGACCACTACAGTGACGGTGAAAATGCCAATCAACCATTGCCCTGCAAGGATGGTAGAATCTTAGATTGAGACCAGGGGTTCTTAATCCTTTTTGTGCCCTGGACCCCTATGGCAGTGGCTGGTGTAGCCTGTCAACCCCTTCTCAGAATAATGCTTTTAAATGCATAAGATAAAATATTTAGGATTATAAAAGAAATCAATTTATACTGAGAGTTATAATTTTAAAAAAAACTCACAGAGCCTGTTTAAAACCCCTGATAACAGCTAATATTTATATAGCATTTACTATATGCCTGTGCTTTTACAGTTATTACCCCATTTGATCTTCAGAACAACCCTTCGAGAGAGGTGCTAGTAATTATCTCCATTTTACAGATGAGCAAACAGAGGTTAAGTGGTCGCATTGTACCTAGGGTCACACAGCTAGCAAATGTCTGAGGTTGATTTGAACATAGGTTTTCCTGACTCCAGACTCGATGCTCCTTCTGCCGTGCCACCCAGCTACCTGATCTAGAGCTGAAAGAGAGGAGAACCCTGGCCAGTGGCCACGGCTCTGTTGGTATTTAGGGTGGGGGAAGTCAAGGATTGAGGCAGGGCAGGGAGGCATCAATGATATGATGACCCAGGTTCAATAGACCTGGGGTTGGAATAAAGTCACTTAGCCCTGTAAAGCAATTTAGCGCTCCCCATCAATTTATCCTGTCTCTGAGTAATGAGGTTGGGGATAGATCAGATAAGGTGGGGTGGATTTTAATTATTCACATGGCAGGGGCTAAGAATGCTTCATATGGATCACAAGCCACATCACCATATCCACATCTGGATAGACCTCCTTCTCTGGGGTTAGAGCTGCCCACAGATGCTCCCCCTGCCCCGCCCCTTCCTTTCCTTCTCTTTCTCCCACTTGCTACTGTGAGGCTTGTATCTAGGAACCTCTGTCAGAGAAGAAAAGAAAACCATGGGGGATGTCAGTCCTGTTTCTGAATTTAGCTGCAGATTAGAGGCCACAAATCCTCCACCTAATCCTGCCTGCTCCAGAGCAGGGCACAGAGGAGAAAAGCTATTCTCTCCATCACCGGTACATTAGATGAAAACTTACCTCTAAATCCTAGATCCCTAAAACAGTAGTCTGTGGAATGGGGGAAAAGGGAGGAGCCCTCACTTAATGGGAAACCACAGAAAGGTAACCCTTTTTCTCTGGATCCTAGTAAAGTTTACATAGGAAAGACAGCTATAGAGGCAGAATCCTGTCTAGTGACACCTTTGAGTTGAAGAAAGAGACACAGAGAGAGAGAGAGTAAGGATGCTGATCTGCTAGTTTTTTAAGTAAGTATACCCTAGAGATCTCCACTCTTCTGACATCCCTTCTCTTTCTCTCCCCACCCCCATTCCTAACAGTCCTATGACCATCCTGCAAAAGCCATGCTTTAACTATTGAAAAAGCTGATCATTTAAGGTATAAGCCTTCCAAGGGGCATTTTTCTTTTTTTAAGTTTTAATTGATGTCTTCTGTTTCTTACATTGCAATAATAGTAATAACAACTAAGGTTTATATAGTGCTTACTATGTGCCAGGCACTGTGCTAAGCACTTTATAGTTATCTTATTTGATTCTCACAATAATTCTGGGAGGCAGGTGCTATTATTTCCCCATTTGTCAGATGAGGAAACTGAGGCAAACAGAGATAAAATAACTTACCCAGGGTCACACAGGTTAGTAAGCTTCTGAGGGCACATTTGAACTCAGATCTTCCTGACTCCAGGCCTGGCACTCTACTGACTGTGCCACCTAATGTTATCATAATTATCCCCAGTATCCTTTCCTCTTCCCTTCCCCCTCCCAGAGAGTTATCCCATATAACAAATAGTGGGGGGGGTTTTAAGAGGAAAAGAAATCAGCACAACTGATCAATACATTGAAAACGTCCAAAAATATGTGCAACGTATGATGCCTGTGGACCTCCCACTTCCATGAAGAAGTGAGTTGCGAATGTCCTTTCGTTTCTCTTCATTTGAGTCCTGTTTGATCTTTGCAGTTTTATTACATTTGCTTTTGCTTTTTTTTTTTGGTATGTGTTTGTTCTTTCTATTTGCTTTGTAGTAATTATTGTGCATATTGTTTCCTTGGTTTTACTTGCTCCACTCTACGTCATTTCGTGTAAACTATTCCCTGCTTCTCTATTTATCACATATATAAAGCACAGTAACATTTCATTCTATTCATGTACCACAATTTGTTTAGCCATTCCCCAACCAATGGGCATTTACTCTGTTTCCAATTCTTTGCTATAATAAAAAGTGCTGCTATAAATATTTTGAGATAGATGGAGACTTTTCTTATCAATAGCTTCCTCCAGTAATGGAGTCTCTAGTTCAAAGAGTATGGATATCTTGGTCACTTTATTTACATAATTCCAAACTGCTTTCAAAATTGGTTGTACCATTTCATAGCTCCACCAACAATGTATTAGTATGCTTATAATCTCACAATCTCTCCAACATTGAGTATTGCCATTTTTTGTCATCTTTGCCAGTTTGCAGGGTGGAAGGTAAAACCTAGGAGTTGTCCTTATATTTTTAAGTTTCTCTTATTAGCGATTATGAGCATTCTTTCAAGTGGTTGTGAATACTTTGCAATTCTTCTTTCAATAGCTATTTGTTTATATCCTTTGACCACTTATTTGTTGGGGAATGGCTATTAGTTTTATATTAATTCTTTATATATCTTGGATACCATACCTTTTTCAGAGAAATTTAATAAAAATTTTTTTGAAACAAAATACAAATATTCCCATTTAACCACTTCCCTTCTTATCCTGGGTGTATTATTTTTTTTTTCTGTTTGCTTTTCCAAATCATGAAATCAAAGTTACCCATTTTATCTTTTGTAATTAACTCAGCCTCTCTGGGGAGCATTTTCATGATCACAAGGGATTCCGAGAGATAGAAAAAAACCTTGCCAGAGGTGGGGAACCAAATAAATGATGCTCTAATGGGGAATTCAGAGACCATATAAAGTCAGTGGATATAGTATTACTTACTTTAGGTGCACATCAAATAAAATTATATTGGTTCTCACTTATCAAACTAAACTCTGAGGATATCAGTTAAGCCAATTTTTCAGACACAAGATGTCACCCTGAAGTCCCAAAGGTTTCTATTTCCTCAGTCCTATACATTATCCAAGTTCCCATCCATATACATGTGCATGCTACTTTCTGATTACATTACCATTCCAAGAGAGATATACACCAACATTTAAGAGCTATTAATAGATTATTATGAATATCTATTATTAGAAGAGGGAAGATTAACTCTATTGGACTGGATAAAAGCCCAGTTAGGATTTATGTCCCACACCTACTTCTCCCTCAGTAGTGCTACGCCTACCTAAGGCCTCAGGATTCTTCTCCCTTTCCTCTTCCTGCCTCTATCATCTTTTGTCTTATCCCCAGTTCATCAAAAGCCTTCTTCCCCTAGCTTAGACTCAGATTAGACAGCTGCAACAAAGACATTTCAATATGTACAGTGATCAGTTTCCATAGGAACTCAGCAATCAGTACAGCCCAGCCCACGGACCACTTGGGAGTACCCATTGTCACAAACACACCTGAAATTGTATAGGCCTCAGGAAACCTCGTGGTTCTTTTGTGTTCCTAGTTTAAATCAGTCCCCTAATAATTTACATGTGCCCTGATCCATCCCCCTGATTTTGAAAAGCAGAAGACAAAACTCCTGCTGAATAAAGACAACTCCCCCCTCTACTTCATAAATGTGCAGAAGCATCTAGATTGTGCCCTGTGACAACGATGTGCTAATGCTACAATTTATGATTTAGCACCTGGGACTAGACCTGTGGGCACAGGTATTCGGTAAAAACCAAAACCCAAACCATTAAGAGACAAATGCTGCTGTACACAGCAGAGAACAAAAGAAAACTTACAAGGAAGCAAAGACTGACGGCTCTCAACACAACGCATGGTATTATACAGGCATTTTTGAAATGAAAATTTATTGCTGTATATTTTGGAATCCTCTCTTATGTTCTGCTGTGCATATAACAATGCTTTTTTTCTTTTCTTATTTTGCATTTAAGTTTATATTTATTTTTCTTTTCTTATCATGTATATAAGTTGTAGTTACAAAATTTTAAAAAGAGAAAAAATAAATTTAAAAAAGAGACAAATGCTGCATCTGTCTTGGCTGCTCATTGTCCTAGTGACCCTCTTACAGATGTCAATTTCGTTTAAAAAAAAATATGGCTGTGAGCACAAGTACTGTAGATGTTATCTAACCAGGGAAGAATATAGCAAGATTATCACCAAATGTCCCAGAAAGTTAGGGAAGGTTCAGGCCCTAAACCTGGTATGAACCCTCTATGTAAAGGGTCCTAAGACCAAAAAGTTTGAGAATCTCTGGTCTAGGTGTTTGTAACCAATGGTCCCCAAGATATTGGATTGCTACCTCATCACTAGTTCCTACAGATACTAGATCACTACCTCATCTATTTTCTAGCTGTGTGACCATAGGTAGATAATTTAGCTTCTCTGAGCCTCAGTTGGCTTATCTGTAAAATACATATGATAGCAATGCTCATTGTACC